GAATCGAAATTTTTAATTTTTAATTTTAAATTTAAATTTTTATTTCCCCCTCCCTTGTGATGGACTCCTGAGCTACTAGTAGTGTTCAACCTAAGCTAGAATGGCCAGATCCCTCGTGATCGTCAGGGCTTGCTAAAGATGCAAGAGGACTAGTCGCTAGGATTGCTAACCTATTTTTATTCTTGCCTTCCTGGTTACTTGTTATGAATCACAATCAAGACTAATATCCATAATCCGATCAATGACACTGTCCAGTAAAGGGTAGTTCTCAAGATTTTCATTGTTTGGGTCTTTAATCATGACTTTTATTATGAAGCTTCTTGTTATTATCAAGTCCATTATCTGATCTATTGAACAGTTTGCATTACTCCAGGTGAGCAATGTAGTAATCAACCCACCCCTCTTACACTGAGCTGTATCACCATGCTTGTTATAATACCAGGTATGAAAACTGCCTATTCTAGGCTACCTAGGGGTGCTATTGAACTACGAGAGTAAGGCGATCGACAACCATACTCTGTATCGTACTGAGAGTCCGGTAAAGGAACGATACTTCAAGACACCAATGGAAAGTCATGCAGTCAGCTGAGGGCCCGACCCTGCTACCTTAATACATTCTGCTAGGGTAGTTACGGAGTCTTTCCAGCCACCTTTCCCTACATTGTACTCTTGATGAATGGCACTCTCTATCTCGCCTTAGCAATGGTCAAAAAATGAGAATAGGGATTGCGCTTCACCTCCTATTGTGTAGGCATACACCCAAAGTAACCGACCATAAGTATAGTACAGAGCTAGTACGGGCCGCATGTTAGGGATCCAACATATCGTTCATCCTGCATGTCATTGATATGTATGCTGACATGAGGTCAGCTGTTTCCTCGCTGAAGGCATAGAGGAAGAGAAAGAAAGAGGTGAGATGCTGCTTCGCAAGACAATATAGTCTCGGCCAGCTCAGTTACAACCCCAAGCGCAATAAGTAGTACCGTATGGGGGTCACAGGCTTCTCACTCAATACCCCAAGTTCTCCCTTCGTAACAGAGGGAGGGGCAGGGGGAAGGTCGACAAACTAAGATAGTCATAAATTTGAGGTCCAGCCAACCTGTAGGGCCCGGGGTAACTTGATAAGAGGGTGTTTACGCTACCTCCAGTTTTTCATTCATATGGAAGTTCGTTGCGCCTTCCACTACAATAAATAGGCATCCGCAATACACCTTTGAGATTATCGCATGAAGCTCTTCAAATTCACTACCGGGCTAGTCCATGACAAGCAAAGCCCAAGATCACACGAAAAAATCGACAATCAGCCAAATTACTATCCATACACGCATTGCCTTCTTTCTTTTTTTGTCTTGTTTTCGTTTCTCCTTTTCGTTTCTCTGACTTGACATGACCCATAAGATCACTCATGAGGCAAATGTGGAGGTTGCGAGTGAAAAAAAAAAAAAAAAGGTCTTGGGCAGCGCAGCACCCAAGTGAAAACAAAATAGCCGGGATAGGTGAAACGTAGAGAATACAAAGCCAAATGTGCGCCAAACCTTCTCAGAGAATCCCATCACCGTCCCGTGTATGTAGAGTACCTTAACAAAAGAGGAAACGAGGTCAGAAACACCCATTCATGAAACATGGTACCAGGAGACCTGTCAGACGACAGCAGCGTAGGGAATAAGCACATACCTCCAGATTCTTGCACGCATGTCACCACTACCAGTGGCGAACAAGTTGTTTGTCGGGCTGGGAGCCACCGAGATCACTATCACCAAGTTAGACGAAGGTATCACCCGCAGGAGTTTTGATACTAACCAGAATTTTTGTGGCCCTGTAGCATCATCTGCGCATTTCCCGTGATCGGATCCCAGAACTGGACACCCCGATCCTTGGAACCACTCATAACCCAGTGTCCGTCTGGAGTCAGGCAAACACTGAGGACGAAGTCCTAATCCGAAAGTGTGGTTAGTCTCTATATGGTTTTTTCCTAAGATAAACAGCAAGTAGTAGATGGAGTTGCGGATATTAACAAACCTTGTGGCCCTCGAAAGTCCGAATGCATTTGCCACCTTTGACGCCAGTCCCAGGGAATGCACCACGGGGAACATTAAGCTCCCAGAGCTTGATAGTCTTATCGAGACTGCCACTAACTAGATCCCGGCCGTTTGGCGCAAAAGCAACTGAGTAAACGCTATCTTTATGTCCATCAGGGCTTTCCAACCGTTCAACTAAATAGCCAGTGGTCGTATCCCAGACGCGAACGCTCTTGTCCAAGGAGCCAGCTGCGACGTAGTGACCATCGGGGGACATAGCAACGGTTGTCACACCATCTTCAATGCTGAGAGTGTAGACAAGCTTGCCATCCAGAATATCCCATAGGCGTACAGTCTTGTCTCCGCTTCCGGAAGCAATATAGCGGCCATTGCCAGCAAAGTCAAGAGAGTAAATATCTTGCTCATGGCCAGTGAAGATATGCTTGATAGTGCGAGCGGCAATGTCCCAAACCTAAACCCACACTATTAGTCTCCTGATCAAACAATCAAACAAGGGGAACGGGAGGGCGGGTCTGAAGATATGTAGTTCAAAGAATATGATAGGCAAATACTGTTGCCATTACTCGCAAGGGTGGAAAAAGGTGGATATCATGAGTATTGACAGTGACAGAAGAGCTGTCCTCTGACTTACACGAATTTGCTTATCCTCGGCGCCGGTTGCGAGGAACTTGCCATCGGGACTGAAGCAAACACTGCGGATATAAAGATCGCCGTTTTTGTCCACGTTCTCGTCCTGAAGGGTAGCCACATTCTGGCCGGTCGTGACGTCAAAAATTTGCGCGGAACGATTGCAACCGGTTGCAAGATATTTGCCGTCCCGGCTGAAACGTACGCAGCAAACCACACTATCATGAACAAGATGATGTACCAGCTCGACGTCCAACACACGCTGTACTTCTGGGTTGAATACAGCGTACCAATCAGCACCCTCGCGTTTTTGCGAGGCAGGTAAATCATCTGGATTCCAGTTGGCCAACATGTTACCTGGGCGGTCACGGACAAGGGCTTGGCTAGGTGGGGTGGGCCGGGCCAACTGGGGCGACACACGAGGATCAGGGTAGGCCAGTTGGTGGGTTTGCTGGGGAGTTGCTGGTCCAGGAGGAGCACGGGGTCTCTTTCCAGGTCCAGGAGAGGCGGTGGGTGGAGGCGGAGGTGCGTAACCTGTACAAAAGATCCACGAATACGGGTCAGACATCAGAGAACCCACTATCAACTCAGTCACAACATACCGTTCACAGCAGCACCAGGCTGATATCCCCCAAAAGAGCTCTGCGGTGGCTGCGGCGCTCCTTGCTGAGCCGCGGGAGCAGGCTGTTGAAGGGTATGCTGGGGAGGCTGCTGATCCTGGGGAGGGGGAGGGGCAAGACCGGGACCACTACCTCCTTGGTTGGCCATGATCCCACCGAATAGATTACTAGGGCCATGACCCAATGCGGGCGGGGGGGCTTGCGAAGGGCCAGCGTGCTGCGCTGGGCCAGCAATATGGGACGAGACAGGTTGAACACCGCGCGACTCCAACTCATGACGCAGCACTCGGATTTCCGCTTCATAGCTGCAAAGAATTAGCTTCCGAAAGGGCCATTGTCTTTGGAAGGTCATTTCGTAGACACGTACTCTTGCTTCATTTTGATTTGTGCTTGCTCTAACTGGTAGACCTTCTGCCGAATCATTTCCATTTCTTGGAGCTGTCCGGTTACTGAGAGGATTGTCAGCTATCCATTTAATCTAATGTTAATTTCCTTCTCTGAGTAGAAGAACCCCGAACAATTCCCAGCAAGCCATCGCACTTCATGCGACTGATGTATCGATGGAGGAGCCGATCACGTAAGAACCAGTAGGGAAGTATGCCCGACAAGGCTAGGCATGAAGGTTGACACGAGGCAGATACTGATGATCAGAGAGGAAGACAATTCAAATGCACACATACATTGATGTTCAAACTCGCCAGTGCTCCTAGATTGATTCTCAAATTCCTGGCGCAGTTGATCAAGCAACTCCGTCAAACGGGAGTTGGGAGCGGGAACCATCCCGCGATGTGTGTTATACATTGCGCGTTACTCTTGGTCTGTGTGTCCAGTATATTGACAAGAATCAAAGGTATATTTGAAGATAACTCAGGGCGACTAGGCGGGACCAACGAAGAGCTTGTTCGCGCGACGTGAGGAACGAACGGTTAGTTTCGACTTGACAAACGGGTCGACCAGAAACGACAAAGGCTGCTGGTAGAAAGTCAATGCAGCCGCATCACAGCGCGCCCCTAAGGACCAACCGCTGTGGCAATATCGAGGTAATAAAGGCGGGTGTTGTGTGGCGGTAGAGACGTGGAAGGGGCTGTAGGGGGAGGAGATGCAGTTGAGGTTTAGAGATGACAGTTCAAGCACGGAGATCAAGGCTGGAAATGGATGGGGGCAGGAAGGCGGCTGAAGGTTTGGCGCGAGAAGCGAGGCGATAGGCGAAGAAGCGACGGGACTGGCCCCTTTTTAGCCTGGCGGGGCTTCCCGAAAGACCGTTTGCAGAGAAGGGACAGTATTAAGAGTTCCAAAGTGGATTTATGTCCATGGTACATACTTACTCCTAGTATTGACAATAGAGGATTTCCCACAATATCTATTTTACATGGTGTACCTATATTTCCATAGTTTGTCATTTTCTTCAACCCTCTTACTGTTGGTATGATCATGTCTTTTTCCGGTCACAAGCTCTCAATGATATAGGCTTAATGTTTTTGTTTTGTTATGTTATTTCATTCTATCTTTTTTTCCTATTTAAAAAAAATGGAAGGAAAGAAAGAAGGAAAGAATAGAATGTTATATAATACTCTGTACTCTAAAAAGACAAATGTGACACTCATATCAGTTGAATGACTCAAGAGGTCGGATGTATGTACATCCATATATTGAATACATGGCCTCTTAAGGGAACGTGTAGCTGTAATGTTACAGTTCTCAGTCTATTTCAGAGATGGAGTTGGACTCAGTAGCTTAATATTGAGTCCACAGTTGTATTACGGAAACAAATGCAGTTGACACGGCAACAATGCGCACCAGCACCACAAAGATGATTGAATATTTTAAATGGTCAGTTTCAGGCTTTCTTTTCCTTATACTTTGTCATACATGATAGTAATATGTATCTAAGACAAAGCCGGGCGGCTGTATATATACATGTTACTCAATACAGGATCCATGGGCTATTAGAGTGATAATGATGCCGCATATCAAGATTTATCTGCCTTCCGAAGTCACGGAATTCCGGATCGGGTATCGATTCTTAAATCTACTATACTGAGGTCTTACAGACAGAACCAAGTACGGCCCAGTAACAATGTACGAATATCTTAGACAGCCCCCAATATATACTACGAAAGAATATAGGAGTCAAACAATCACTTGGATATAAGTAGTTTTCGTCAGTCTGTTTTAGTATTCGGTATAGAGCGGGTAGTTCACGTGGTGGTCCAGTACTTAGTTATACTCTGTAGTTAGTTCACTAGCTAGATAGCTATAGCTTAGGTAATAAGTCTACCTATAGTTAACTAGATATTCTCCTATATTACACAAGAGAAGTGGTCTTACAGACTCCCATAAACGAACATAAACACCGATGACTTGAGTTCAAGAGTCTTAGGAGAATTGATCACCATAGCACTATTAGGAAGGGTAGCCGACATCAATACAGAGAGTTTAGCGACTCGGGATACTCCACCGACTGGCTCATTCGGAGGAAAATACAAGATTACCCAGATACTTTTAGAGACAGATACTAATAGTTCAATATGTTATGGTTTCCCTTGTATGAAGTTACACCTTTCATAAAATATACAAAATAGGCATTTTGTACCTGTGTGGGATAATAATATAAACTTCGAGCAAGCTGCAAGTCCTAGCAACTATACAGATACCTCTTATAACACATTGCTGTGTATACTATGACTTAAATATCGGATTGATAGAGTATACATCAGCAATAATCACATTGTTAGAGAAATACTATCAGTAGTTGGATAGCTGCAGTGGGTAGCTGGTAATGCAAGGTCACGGGTACTGTACAATAATACCGAGTATGTACCTACTTTAGTAACTTCTGACATTTTATTGTCCGTTTTCCTTTCCCCCTTTGTCTGGTTCACAATGATTGGATGAATATCGGCCGATTGATCTGGTTGTGTGAGTTTCATTCTATTTTGTTATTATTATTATTTTCTTATACTTTTTGCCCTCACTTAGTCCTTCGGATACGGTAGTAACTGCTTCCCCACCACCATTTTCTGAGCCGCGAAAAAGAAGTCCGAGTTCGAAAGGTACAAAAAACGGGGAACGGCTGTGATTGTTCCGCCTGGTGTGATGCCGAGCTTGGTCCTTATAGGCTATTTTCATTTTATTCATTCCCATCCATGCTTCACATCAATTTCCTCTTCTCTCCACTCGACCTAATTTCCAACCTATCCTTAAAACCCACCCTTCGGACTCCCCCGACTGGACTCTCCTCTCTTCTGCTTTCTCATTGCCTTTCCAACTCTTTACAACAATTGGGACAGTCTGCGAGTTAGTCGTCGTTTTTTCTCTTGTCCAACCCGAATTATACTACCTTTCAAATTGGTTCTCAGGGGGATCATGGATATCGCCCTCGAAGTCTGGGACACCTTTATTGGTGACCGCTTATACGCCGCACTTCTCCCCGTCTCCCTTTCGTCCTCAGTTTCGTTTCCTGGCTTCAATCATGCGGCCAATAGCAGCCTGTCCTTCTTCGGCGCATCCCAGCCCTTCATCTACGAACCGGCCACATATCTGATCTATCTGGAACCCTCGAAGTACGCGTACATGAGTGCCTGGCCCAGGAACAACATCTACCGCCAATTCCTGAGTTTCTTCTTGATTGTCTGGTATGCAAAGAGCCCCTTTCGCTAAGGCTGGATTCGGCGTCTAATGATCATCTATGGAAAAGGATATTCGGCCTTATCACCTATTTCATATCTGCAACACTATCTTATATATTTATCTGGGACAAGACTACCGTTAAACACCCGAAGTTCCTCAAAAACCAAATTCCCATGGAGATCGCACAGACCATGGGATCTATGCCCATCATGTCTCTTCTGACTGCCCCCTTTTGGTCGCCGAGGTCCGGGGTTATGCCAAGTTGTACGATGGTTTCTCCGACGAGCCTTTTCCGTACTACAGCATTATACAGTTCCCGTTGTTCATTGCATTCACCGATTTCTGCATCTACTGGATCCACCGCGGCTTACACCATCCGTTGATCTATAAGTCTCTACATAAGCCGCACCATAAGTGGATTATGCCCAGCCCATTTGCCTCGCATGCCTTCCATCCGCTGGATGGATGGTCTCAGAGTGTCCCATACCACGTATTTCCATTTATCTTTCCACTTCAGAAGGTCGCCTATGTTTTTCTCTTCGGATTTATCAACCTCTGGACCGTATTGATCCATGACGGCGAATATGTTGCCAACAGCCCGGTCATCAATGGAGCTGCCTGCCACACAATGCACCATCTTTACTTCAACTATAATTATGGGCAATTTACCACACTATGGGATCGATTGGGAGGGAGTTACCGGAAACCAAACGAGGAACTTTTCCGCCGTGAGACAAAGATGGACAAGGAGGAATGGAAGAAACAAACCAAAGAGATGGAGTCTATCCTCAAGGACGTTGAGGGAGACGATGATCGCAAATACCTAGTCGAAGATGAGTCTAAGAAGGACCTGTGATTAACGCTACAGGCCCTGTCATGCCATTTCCTGCCTTCTTTTCATCCAAACCTCCTTGGAACTACTGTTGGCTGGTTTAGACAACCGTTACGAATAGTATAGGTTGTCAAACTCCTCTCGGGGAGCGGCAAGTTCTTTCTGGGCCCCGCTAGATTAACGGGGAGAGCCACAGCCGTCTTCTGGGTGGAGCTAACAATATCCTGAGTTGGATCTTTTGCTTCTGACAGTGAGTGCTACGATATTTATGTTTTTTTTAATCCGTCCCGTTCGTGTGTCTTTGCCCTCAGTTCTTCCCCTGACCACGTCGTATAATACTCATTCTAGTATATTAGTTACTGCATTCCTGTTTTTGTATTCATGATCAGTCATCAACACATCGTGATATAAACCATTGTCAATGGTGAAAATCACTGCAATTCCCTCCCATGTTCATGGTTTCGTTGTATATACATATTTTAATCCTAATTAAAAGCAGGAATGAAAATCAATATAGAGCATTTTTACTCGTTTCTCACTGCCACGATTCAGGCCCTTACCCTATGCTTAGATGTGCCTTTTACAATCTGCCGAAGACAGTACTATGAGGCCAGCTTATTCAGTTTCATCCAATTTTTGATTGCACCACCTCGATTGTCCTGCCAGAATACTTGGTGTGTGATCATATATAGTGTTAGTAGGCATACACCTATTGACTTGAATAGTGATCATAGAATTTTATGCTGTTCAACATACACGTATATATATAGATATTGAGAATGGAACCCAATTAGACTCAGTTTGCTTTTATATGCTGCTCTTTCAACATCCAGTGTTACTAATAATGCCTAACTGATATAGTGGATTTATTGAGACATAGTAGTGACTTTTGCGAAGTTAGAAACCTCTCGAAATTACCAACATCAGCTAGTGAGTAAATCGAACCAATCTTAAACTACAGTCAAAAAGGGCCCTCTCTTCTTGTCATCCCCGATTTATTTAAAGAAAAGAACCCCCCCCAGAAAGGCATATATAATAAAGACGAGAGTGCAGAGAAACTTCGTTTGGTATGATGCTCAAGACAAGGACGAATACTGACAGCAGAGGCTAACATGCCAAACCTTCCGATGACTTCCAGATGAGTATCTCATGAGACATCCGCAGCCCCATCTGCATCCGCGACGTCCAGATCTCCATCTGCTGGACCATCCATAGCCGCAGTTCCTTCCTGGAGCGGTGGTGCCGTTGTCCCAATAGGAGTTGCAGTGGCCATGGTTTCAGCGATAAATGATTCCTCGACACCGGCTTTTCGCCTGAACGCTCTCAGCCATCGACAACCCCATTGTCTGATGATTTCGTCTTCTGGAAGCTCACCACTTCCATCACCCCTTTCCATCAATCCATCGTTGTTTCCTCCGGCGACTGACACAATCGAATCTTCAATTACTTTGAAGAGCGCCTGCATATCTGCCTTCTCACGGTTTAATGTGTCATCTAGAACACTCAACTGCGGCTCATACAGGCCCGGCTGAGTCCGTGCCGCAACGATTTGGCGCAGACGGTTGGTGACTTTTCCCACAGTGGATGATATCATCTCGAAAACGTGTGTTCTTGCCAAAATCGTCCCCGCCTCCAACTTGTCTACCAGTGCCCACTCAATGACGGATAGCGGCGTCAGAATAGTGTAATTCAGTAACTTGTCGATGATATTGATGCCGATTCCTGGTTGATCTTTCCAATATTCCATAACAGAGGTTATAATTTGGCGACGTGCGCGAGTGGACTTGGGGCCAATGGCTAGAAGTCGTTCTTTGTTTCGCTCAATGCAAGACAGTACGTGAGAAAGTGATTTTGACCCAACGAAGCAAATTGCCGTGACGAACGCATCTGTTGAGGGTAGCATAGGGTCCTCAACCCCCATCGCCCTAGCTTGCTCTTCAATAGAAGAGATTATTGGCAGGATATCGTCATCTGCTGCTTTCTTACGGATGAGCTGCATGATTTCTGTGCCTTCATTGGCATAGGGCGTGGCTGTTGAGGATGATGATGAGTCAACAAGTTCTAAGAGGCCCACGACAGGACTGGAGCGCATGAACTTACTATCCAATGAGTATTTGAAGTCGGGAGTATCCTTCTCCTTGCCTTCCGTAATCAAGTCTTGGTAAGGGTCTGGAAGCGTGCCTCTAATACGCTGAGCAAAGCTTAACCTGATCTCTTTGTCCAGCGCGCCGATTATAAAGGCCATCCTTGGGTGAACTGAGGAAAGTTCAAGGTCATCGATCCTTTTCCAACGGTTAGCCTCTCATTCTGTCTTCTTCTATCATCATCATCATCATCATCAACATGATGATGATATATTCCCCCCTTTTTGTTCTTTTGTTTTTGTTTAGGACAGGGATCTGTATCATTATGGTGGGACTGACCATTCACTCCATTTCCATGTGAACCCAAAATTGCTCAGATGGTGAGCAAACCAATCTAAGAACCGATGGCTTAAATCTAGATCAATCGTTTCCAAGCTGCGATAAAGAAAACGAATCGCACGCCCTAAGCTCGGAGCGATGGCAGCCGGTGCGATCTTACAGCACTCTGTGAGAACTGAGTGGTAGTACACAAGCTTGTGCTGCGGGGAAGGAAGTTGGAACAACTGGGAGAAAACTGCGTCCACGGCCACGTCTTCGGGCTTCCACGTCGGACGGTCTCCGGAGATATCGCGTAATCTGTCAAAAGGAGTTGCACGCTTCACGAAAGTATGCGGTGTAAAGTAACAGTCAATGTCGATGAGATACTTGGCCGTGGCAATACGGTTGAAGTCGAGGATGTTGATCGTGTCAACAAGAGCGTCACGCAGCAGAGATGACGCAATATCTGACGTTGGGGGGACGGTTTCTACCTCTTGGTTGGAGTATACGGACATGTAAACTTCAGGGAAAATCGCCCTGGATCCATTTTGTACAGGGTCGGGCACAGTTATTTGAGGGAATGCATGCTTTGTGCCGGATTCCAGGGGTTTCTGCTCTTCTTCATTGTCGCGTCCCCCTTTCCACGGTCGAGGAAGACATGCGAGTTCCCAATTCCGGTTGGCTTCCTGCTGGAGTTGACTTTGAAGCAGGCTAATAACGCTTTGCGCAGTAGATGAAGTGTCATATTCCGGGCTAAATGGCTTAACCAAATCCACCAACGCATGCGGGGTCGATGCAATGATGTCGGTCTTTTCAAGAAGGGCATTTGCCTGAGCCTCATAACCTGTTATCGGAGAAGCCATTATGTATGGAATAGTGAAGAGAATTATTTTCACGAGTTCCAGTCCTAGCAACTATACATGACTTATTAGTGGGTGTGCACATATTAGATAGCGAAACGGCTCACATCTTCAGAAGAGGCTGTCTGCAGAACAACGGCACGCTCAAAAAGCTCTTCCAGGATTGGAAAGATGCCATCTCCCTCATATAATATCTGTAGGCATCCAAGAAACCGGAGAAGAAGCTTGACTTCACGCCATGCCCCGTTGTTGATGTAGTGCTGTAAGTATTCGCTCGCTTTGGTAAGGATATCGGACACAAGCTCCGATCTGTAGGCATTGGCAGCCAAGACTGTCGCTGCGATAAAGGGGATTTTCAGCGGTTGTTCTAGGGCCCTATCACGGGTCGCATTGTGTTAGCGTTCGGACAAGGGAACTAGGGCCAGTCTAAGCGTACAGGTCAACTGAGATATCAACAAAAGCCTGTCTCAGCTCCTCATCTTCATAATTATCGGCGACGCTTTTTGCAATAGTCACTACATCGTCTTCGGCTCTTCTGGCGGCCTAATGGGAAAGTGTAAGTTATGACGTTGATATTCAAACCTCAACACCAAAGAAGGGGGATCGTACAGATTCGGCAATGGTTAATAGCTGTCTTCGGACCTTCGCAACCAAGGGTTCTTCGTATCTGCGCCTCTGGCGTCGGTCATAGTCATCGTCTTCTGTAAATTTCGCAGTAATTGTTAGGGGGAAGAGCAATCAAAAACACCACGATCCGAGGAACCAAGAGAAACGGTATCGCGGTAGATGCCATATCTTTATATATATATATAGAGTGAAAAAAAAAATATTCGCACTGACCTCTATAGCGCCTTTTGCGACCACCCTTGGGCCCGTGATGACGGCGTTCGTAGTCAACCATAGCTATCTACACCTGGGCACGTCGGTCTTTGTGCCTTCGCAGATTGAGATGAGCTAGATATTGAGCAAGACTATCAAAGCTGTATGTGATTGATAGGACACATAAGTTGCGTCCACAGATACGTTCACTGCCGGTAATGTCTATTAGAGCAAAGACCGCGCGTGCACATGCTTCTAGAAGCAAAACATTGCCAGTACCGTGAGCTCACCAAGTGTCGGGATAAGAGATGCTCCGTGCCGCTGATTATATAATATGCTAATAGTAAAGTAACATAGTTACATGCAGGAACATACATCACAACGTACCATAATTGGACCCCTTTTAGAAATAGAATAAGAGACCAATTGGCCATTTGTATTACACAGAGACATTATTGTCCCAGTCTGAGATGTCTAAGATCAGATCTAATTCAAACCCCATCTCTTGAACTAGTTAACAAGCTATGATATCTATCGCAAACATGGAGCACTGTGTTTCACCTTCTGCCTTTTGCTGTGTAACTGAATGGAGAGAGCAATATAAGGGTCAACTCTGGTTGTTCACCCATTCACCTAGAGTACAGTTGCCGATAGCAGTTTTGAGGTCTGTTGGCACTTATCTGGTCGTCGATGAACATGGCAAATAGCAACCTCCTACATCCATAGACTATCCCGACTATGGGAAGAGGTAAATACCAGAAAACTCTGAGATAAGCTTGCAATTACAGCATGGGACAGTTAATGACGGGAATGGGAGAGTCAAAACATGCAATTACAAGACTGTGGTTATACACACTAACGAATGTGATGTTCCAGAGTGTAACATAGGACTCTAATAGGGTGAAGAGGGAAGTGAGGAGAGAAGTGGCGAGGGGGAAGAGAAAGGGTGAAGTAAAAGGAAAGGAAATAGTAAACCAGTCGTCTGCTTTCGGAACTAAGAACTATGCACCAGCTTCATCGTCGAGGAACATTGTCATTCGAGCCAAACAAATGGAGCCGGTGTTATGATAAAAGTGAACAATGAGTAATTTAAGGGGCGAAAAAAAGGCAAATGGGACGAGTATGAGTAGAAGAGAAACACAAAAGATATTGAAGGAGCAAAAATGAAGGCGAGAAAGGGAAGAAAAAGGAAGTGAAGGCACAAAAATAGGGGCATTTCTAACGCTGCAAGTCGAGGGAATTAAACCTCCAAGACCTATATTCAAAGCATGCTCACTAGCACATGATTGATGTGCATCCAAGCATAAAAATCCTCAACGATATCTGACGTATTTGTAGGATATCCATCTCTCTGCCCTTCTCCATAGGACTTGCGACATTTATAACCCCTTCAAATCGAGAGATGAAGCTATGCAGAAATGAATCCCGGAAGGCAGACTCACGCGGTAAGGGTATCACTTTTTTTCCTCCCAAGGGCTGTCTCAGACACCTCAATAACTCCAGGCTATGACATTCCATCATCTTCTTTGCATCAAACGGCCATGCTCCAATACCCGTTTCTTTTTTTTCTGTTCTGTTTTTCTTTTCTTTTCCTTAAGGGGAAAAAAAACTTTTCCAGCTGTGACAAAGGGTGGTGCTCTTTCCCTCCAACATTTCTCCTAGTGTCTTTCCGTCCTTTTTTTTTCTTTTCCATTTCCTATTTACCTTTGGAATTGTCTGAAAAGTCACCCCCTCCCCACCGCAGAGAAACCAGCTCCCAGATGTCTTGCCAATGGAATAGGGTCTACAACTGAAATGACTCTCCCAGTTTAGAACCGCCCGGTGTATCAAAGTGAACTCGTACGGCATAGCATCAGGTTCTCGCGCACACGTGCATGTGACCGTACTATGAACAACCGTGTACTTCGTAAGCATTGCACCCCTTGACTCAATCAAGACGTGCCATCATTTCATCTTTCGTTAGGGGGGTAAAGTTATCGATATCTATCCCGCGGGCTTCGAGGGCAGGGCGTGCATGAGGAGGAATAAGCCGACTGTTCATTGCCGGTGCGATAGAAAGTTCTGCTAAGCCGTTAGTCATGGTTGCTAGTAAGCATTGGAAAGAGAGAGCAGACCATGTCGAGAGAAGTCAAACAGATTAGGGAGCTCTCGAGATGGCCCATTCTGGTGTCGGGAATCAGGCAGCCGAGTGCTAGGATCCCTGAGTTCATCAAAGAATGGGTGAATCATCGCTTCAATGGCTGACAACCGCTGCGTTGGTGTGTATTCCAGCAAAGCGGAGATCAAATCAATTGCCTCATGAGGAGCTCTCCGGAAAACCTGGCAAAAATGTGTTAGAATTTTGCTCGAGAGCCCAAGGTCAAGGTAGATATACTTTGTTGAAAGGATGTGGCTTGATCTGCGGGAATTTGTGCTCCATGTAGTTGGGGTTCATAGTGCGAATCTGCTCCCGAGTGGGAGTACCAAGAACTTTAATGATCTCCACCAGTTGATCAATCCCAGATTCACCTGGGAAAAGCGGTTGCCCCAGCATTAACTCGGCCATTACACAACCAGTAGACCACACATCTGGAATCGTTAGTAACTTCACCAATGTCGAATGGATGGCACCGGGTAATTACCAATCTTCGTGGTGTAATTTGTTGCACCAAAAATTAACTCGGGTGCACGATAATAGCGAGAGCAGATATACGAAACATTGGGCTCGTTCTCAACTAAGATCTTGGCAGAGCCAAAATCACAAAGCTTCAAGATACCAGTGCTTGGGTCAAGCAAGAGGTTTTGAGGTTTGATGTCACGATGGCAGATGCCCTGCGAATGAATGTATGCCAGAGAACGAAACAATTGATATATGTAAAGCTTGACCTCCAACATGGGCATTGTAGTCTTCAACTTGTTGAAATATCGAGATGCTCGATAAACCGTTTCTGGTACGTATTCCAGAACGAGATTCAGATACACTTCGTCCTTCTACAGAGTATTGACGGCATAGTCAGCACAAAGGTATTCATTCTGCATAAGAGTGGCAACACATACCCTCTCACCATTGGAGTAATAGAAAGCCTTCAACTCTACAATGTTGGGATGGCGGACAATCCGCATTATTTGTAACTCACGGTTCTAAGGAAGCCATTGTCAGTGATACTCCACTGACAATAAGGTCAACTTTCGGCCAGCGACCACGTACCTTGAAGCGTTTGTCTTGTAGGACACGTTTAATAGCAGCGTCCTCGCCGCTGGGCATCATCTTTGTCTGAAAGACCACTCCAAACGACCCATTGCCAACGATTTTACACTGCGAGTACGAAATTTCTTTGGTCTCCCCTGTTAGTCCATCCTGGACCTTCTCACGGACGACTTCTACAAAGCGAGATTAAAAGTTCAAGTCAGTAGATAATCTCCATAATATGTGCTAGCAATTGGAATGATGGTGATCACTTACCACCCATGCGCAAACTCGAGAATACCCCAGGCCGGTTCTGTGACATCACGGGCGTTTTGTGGGGTTCGCACAAGGCGGCAAGTTGGGCAGCGCTATAGAGGATATGGAGGACTGCAGTTTAACAGCGGATGGCGGCAATAGACGCAGACGTAGGGTCAAACGTAATGTGTTTGATCCGTCTTGAGCAGACTGTAATCGGTGGAGCACTGGGTAAGAGGGGTGCTCTGGATGGGCGGAATATCCGAACGGTGGGTGTTGAGTGGAGGTGTCCGTGAGATGGAAGGTTGAGAAACGGACGGGCGAATAGCAGGAGGGAAGGCTTAAACCAGTAGGCGGATCGAGTGCCAAGAGTGCGCACCAGAGCAGGGAAAGCCCCCCAGAAGTTCGTAGAGGGAATAGCAAACCTCGTGGCAGTCGACCAAGAGAAAGGGGATGAAAATAATATTGCAGCTATGCAAGAGGTTTAGAAAGAAATAAAAAAAAGGAAATGGTGAAAGTGAAAAGTGGGAAAGGGAAAAGGGAAAAAAAATTTGGAAAAAAACTTTTGGTGAAGTGATTTACGTCTCACCACTGAGGCAGGAGAATGGTGGTGGTAGTAGGAGGATAAGGAGCAGTAGGTAGGATGGTCGGAGAGGGTGGAAGAGAGGGCGAGCAGGTGACGTTGATGGAGCGACAAAGCCCGAACACGCGAGGGCTGCAGGAACGCGGGAATAAAGCGCCGGGAGAGGAGAGGAAAAGGGTAAGGAACTCACGAGCCAACCCCGATCGAACAAATGAATCCAAAGATGGGGAAATTATCACCCAAAAAGAGAAAATGAAAAAAGAAAGAACAAGGACAATGGAGGCAATAGATAAAAAAAATTGAGGGGTGAGGAACCAGTGCGGTACAACAGACTGTAAAGCTAAACAAATCACTACTCCATAGAAATAAGTAAATTATTGACTTCCTTAAGAAGCACTAAAAGATAATGACCAAGTAAACTTGGAAAGGAAAAGATCATAAACAGCACCTGTCCTAATATCTGGCTGTACAGAGTACTATGTATGTATTATTAGTGGTAAGATCCAGAAAACCAATGTTTTGGGTTTTTGGTGAGGGGCGGGAGTAGATAGTTTTAGGTAGTCTACCTTGCTAGGACAGGCTGGGCAATGAGCACGAAGCTGTGGCAGAAGGCAAGAAGATTGTGGATGATGGCTGGGATTATTGGTACAAAACAATTCAAAGAATTTCTCTTTATAGCTTCCGGCATAAGAACAATATCTTGTACACAATAGTGTTAGTTCTTGAAATAATTATTAAACCTATCTGATACACCAGTTGCCTGTCATTTGAGAGAGGAAAAATGCTCTCTCTACATACGCTGTATTTCGTTACAGAGGGTATTCAGGCCAAAAATAAAGGAGGGGTCCCAAGTAATATATGTACCAATGCAGCATGTTTAATTACATACAATACTCAAGTGCAGTCAAATCACATGACACCATTTGGTAGTTACTGTAATATCAGTAATTAGCTGGTACCAGTGCACCCAGTCGAAGCAAAGCAGTACATATGTGCTTAAAAATCTATTGAGCACTGAGATCAATATAGGGGAAAATGGATATGTTTAAGATGGTATACAATTCATTAGGACAGAAACTGAGAGTTGTACTTCATAGACTTGGGTGGATTTCATGATGACGGGGGTTGCGCTTATGTGGAGCAACTGCCCAAGGTTGGGCGCAAGGATGGGCCAAAACGGGGAGAAATACCAGATGACCCTCTTCTGGGGCTCGGCTTGAGACAGTATATTCGCCTCTAGTTGAGCTTTGTTCAACCTGTATGGTCACCATGACTTGACAGCTCTTGAACTCTTAGTCAAATAAACCATTCTGATGTATATAAATATCCACTCCATGGCATTTATCTATGTATTGCTGGGGATTTGTGCTGTCTATAAATCTTTATATAACAATACATTGCAGATTTTGGTATATATACAAATACTGAAAACTATTCTTGATCTGTACTCTGTACTAGAATACTGATTCCCCTAAATATATGGTATTTTTTTATTAAGTTGTTAATAGCTCTAGTGACAAGGCAAACAGCAATACTAAGTGTTTGGTCCGCAAGTGTCAAGTGACCAGCTGTGATTTTCACTGGAACTATTCTTATTGGCTATACACAGTGCCTCCTACGTATGCAGAGTATGTACTAGTACTACTAGTTACCAGATCACATATACTGTACCAGACCGCTGTATTTATAACCAGGGATCTAGATCTTAAATTTCTTCTTTCTACTTCTTGCTTTTCCCTCTTTTCCCCCAACAACCCCTCCTTCTGGAACTATGGAGGTAACTGGGAGGCTTACGGAGTAGGTTCCCAACTAAGGTAGTTTCCATATTTAACACAGTTGTGGCCAGAGAATGCGTATGGCAGAGCTTCGAGGTTACGCCACACTCTATGTACCTTTTAAGTAGGGGATACAGAGTACTCCATAGTAGGACATGTTACCTAGTGGTATGTGTCAGGTGTTCAGGAGCTTTGACCAAGCTTGGTGCAGCTCTTAGGACAATACAGCCAACCACGACTTCCATCAAGAGGGGGGTCGGCTGGACGCCGTCAATGTAAGGTAGTTGATTACCTAGTTAGTTAAGACACTAGTATAACATTGACTAATCAATCTCGATGAAATACTCTGTTGTGGTCATTATCAGAGAGTACCAAGCTTGTTATGTTGTGCCTACTCTGGGTAGTAAAATTCTTGGCACTAGATCCTGGAAAGCATGGAGGAAAGTCTATTGAGTATCAACAGAAATAACGAATAGATTTCAAAGCACAGCATACTTTTTCGTAGCCAAATTTAATATGGTACCTGTCCAGTCCTAAGCTGTGCTACTCCTAGTCCTAACTTCCCCATGGCTGCGGTTGACTGCATGCCTCCTTTGCTAGGAACTTACCCCACAGAAACATGGGTGGTCTTAAGGGTCATGTTAAGGGGTTCTCAAATTAGTATCAAAACCCCAGATGATCATTGAAAGCATGTCCGCCTACTATATACAGTTAGAACTAATCGTTAAATATATTTATTCATACTAATACTTCTAATTGTATGTATTAGACCCAATCTCAGGAGAGACTATACCTAGGTATATCTGTTGACCACATCACAGTCAATATTTTGTTCTTTTGCACCCCTTGCATAAATATTACGCATTATAAATCTATCGACCTTCGCTCACACGCTAAATATGCCCTGCTATAGCCAATTACTGGACTCAGCTTTCCCAGTAGGAAGTTGAAGCGCGCGGAACGTTTATTTAGGTGTTATTTCGGTCTTATTTCCGAGACCGTGATCAGATATTCTATTTCCTTTCCATTGTTATTGTCGGGTCACTCCACCTGGCACCTGGCAGTCTCAGGCGATTACTCTATTCAGAACTACAAAGTCAAAACTTACAGTAAATGATGCTTAACTTCTGCATTTCCCATTCCCTGCTCACATTGTACCAGTTGGAATTTTATCTCTAGAAAATGCTTCAAAATAAGATAACAGAGATACCACTGATGCAGTGATGCCAGCATAGCATGCCCTATAGAGATGTAAAACTTGTGCAAATATATTGACAGTAGCCACCAAAAACAAAGCCAGCCATATCATCCTCAAAACTTCACTTGTATCTTAGTGTATACTTAAGTCAAGGTAGGCTCAGGGGGGAGTGATATTAATATATGGATTATTTAGAACAGTACCTGGTTATATACATATAATCCATTGTGAATGGGCTATGAAATCCTATAATTGTAGAAACATGAAACTGGCTGTCATAAAATTAAAAAGGAGGCACAGGTAGTAGGAATTACAAATACAGTACCAAAATATTTATTATAACACTGGACGCAGTGGCTAATTACCCTTGCCCCACTCCTGTGGCTGTCTTGATTACGGAGCACACAGTATGGAGAGAATCCACCTACTAGTAGTGCTCTAAAGGATTCTTCTTACTACAAGCATACTTAGTAGAGTAGTACAATGATTCAATTCACCTTGTCTTTTGGAATGCCATTATCCCAGATAATACAGAAGCCAAATTTGTAAGTTTGCATCAGTACTATACAGCACTCTGTAACAATATCAAGCACGTGAACAATTATAGAAATGATGTATGTATTGGATAGGGCTATTCTCTTAACAAGATATGAAACTAGTCCACTGGAAATTGTTTGGTTAGTAATTTCATTCAAAACAATTTATTGTTCCTTGGTACTCAAGGCTGTCCACCTTCAGTCTCTAACCCAATCAGTGTATTCATTGCTTGGTCTGCGGAACACTGAGTGGCCAGAAACTCAGCAGGTCAGTGGTCCATAAAGATGTCTCAGGTGACTAACTGTAGGTAAGGTAATCTTCGAATTTGGGTAAAAATCCAAAATCAGAAATAGCATTACCACCTGTTACGGATTTTTCATTTTGCACCTGGTACCTACTCCTGCAAATACTCGCCCATTTATATTTATTGATATTTGCTTTCTTTTTCAAGCTTCTTATCTACAGTCGCATGTTAAACTTCCTCTCTGTTTCTATAGGCTACAGCTCTCAAGATGAAGTACATCCTTAACTATAAGTTCTATAATTATAGTCCTTGACAACAGGGCGTCTAATAAGACAAAAGGACAAGTCAATATTTATAATCAGTGCTTAATCTTGAGTTGTAGTATAGTTTATAATATATAGTTGAACAAGTACTTGCCTATCTCCTGTTGTAGATACAGAGCAGTGCAGCAGCGCACTAGTCATGCAAAGTAAAAGGCACAGTGTAACAAAGAGCACTGACTAGGTTTTCTATGTGTGCCCTATATTACTGAGTAATCTTGGCAGTAGTCGCTGGTTAAGTAGTATCTGGAATCTGGATGGGTATTTGACCAACTTTGGGTCAATTGGTAGCACAAAAACTGAACACAAGATACAACATAACAGGGTTTTCTATCTAGTACTAAAATAGCCTAGTGGGGCTTACTACTTAGAATAGCAGGTGCCAGGACTCAGGCTTGTAATAGATTATGAAAGTAATGGCGTCTTTTCTTCCATTTCTCCTTATTTACTGGAGGGAGATCGATTTTTTTGTAAGATTGAAGATAAACTATGCAACCGGTACGTCATCATATAAATCTCTAGATTATGTACCCTCTGAAGAAATATATTATATATGCCATGGGTCTGTGGATCTAATGCCATGGAATGAATGTACTATGTATGATAGGAGTACATGGTTATATGCCTGCAGATGAATAATATGGCGGTTATGCGCCTATCTAGGACATATAAGAGAGCATATATCTCTTTCTATCCTTTTGTCGGCTCGATATAATATGGGCTCAAGACTAGAAGCAGATACGCTTATATATATCTCTACATGTCTAAGTAAATGCTGATCAAAAGTGCATCAGGTTACAATAAGTACGAAGTATCAACTATCTTTTCCTGCAGAGTTATTAGGTGACTGTGGCTATGTTGCTCTCAATCGGGATAACTAATCAAGAAGGTGATTGTTGGAAATATCATTGATATAAGAAGATAGCTCAATTCTGTTCTCTGTAATACGAAAAGAAAACCGTTGGACTAGCTTATTACTTCGAAGAAACAAAATATATGTACCGGGTGGGTATTTACTCCAGTCTCAAGACCTGATGTCATAGTGGATCAACCGAACCAACGACATATGTATGTACCACCAAAGACAACATCGACTACACAGTATTAACTCCTACGTACGGAGTAGAGACCTCATTCCCCCGCTTTCCGTTTTCCAACCCGAAAATTGCCACCCTCTCGAAAAGCCCAGCGCGAATTTCTCGCTGGATGTCATAAGAACATATTGTAATAAACGCCGTAGCAAATCATAATTTCTGTCTGTGAGCCTGGACATGCCGAGTGTGTAATTAGGGTTTTATTGGTCGTACTAGTAACCAGTCGCTGTCATAGCCGAAATCGCCGGCATAACTCTATTTGTGGGTCTTAAAACGAACATTTAGTACTGTATCCTGAGTACTGTATTCTGTGCACGGTTCACCCTGTACTCCGTAAGTTGCGCTCTCCTAAAACTTACCTCCAAGGTTCCGGGTTCTACTTCTCCAATTTCTCAGTCTCTTGGACTCTGGAGGCTCGAATTGCTCGCTCCGTGTTGTCAGTGGTTAGAAAGCATATGGGGAACAACCAGCGGGCTCTAACACCACCTAGAAAATGTACTACTACCTAGTAACTAGAGGACGATTACCTTCAACGTACCCCGTAGAGGTTCTGGATCTGCGAAGTGCTCACTGAGGTATCCACCTAGTAGTCACAAAACCACCGCGTCCTGGTATTGCCCACGAGCGGTAGATTCTCCGTGCGGGTAGGCCAATGGGTATTCAGATGTAGTAGGCACTGACTTCATCTCCTGGGTCACCACTACTACTACTACTACTACTACTACTACTACTACTACTACTAGGGGGGAACAACATACTATCTAGAAGCATGAACCTAAAGTAGTAGAGTCGATAGTTGGGCTTGGACCCTGCCTTAGTACTACTAGTAGTACATTGAGTATACTGCTACATTGTATCGGGGACAGCAAGACACTGGATACAAAATTAATCGCCGAACGTGCTGTACAAATCAGCGACTCCGTAGATACTGGACCTCACCATGACGTGGTTTCTACAGGTATCTACCACTATATGTAGCAGATTACTTTAAAACCCCTTCTTGTCCCACTGTGAGCACCTGATTCCTCAGACCCGGAGAACGCGATGCCACATTATCATCGCAGCGATATTTTATAAGGAATAAACTGATTTTACATTGCCCATCTATTATGCATAAACAACAGCATCCCGCAAGTGTTCTCATATATGCCTCGCATTCCTGGTGGTTAGTCAATAGCCTGTGGGAAGAAACAGGGTAGTAGTAAAACATGATGTGGGTTGACAGTCATAGCCGGATCCATCGGAGGAAAGTACAAAAGTGAAAGGTTAAAAAAAGATTTCAAGTAAATAGAAAGTGATTCTATACAAAATGTGGTTCCGTGGCGCCAAACGACTGCGTCTCGAAATAACCCACCGCATCCGAGGGGATAAACTCCTTAGGAGGTGACACACCATCTTCCGAGCAAGACACAGGGGGAGTGAAGAGCTATTAAAACAAACGACGAAAAGAAAACCAGTTGGATGGAAGACGTGGAGCAAAAATTCCATTCTTCCACCATCAGGTGAGCTGTATTAATCCAACTATGTATGGAAAGAGCCTAGAAAGGTGGAGGAACCATGCCCTGGGCTTCAATCTTCTCTTGCTGCTCCATCAGTTCCTCGCCAGCGATCTCAAGGGACACAGCAAGACCGAGCTTAGCCGATTGCTAAAAATAAAACATATTAGATATTGAACTCCGGCAGGCAGTCGAGTGTTGTAAAGAAAGGCAACTCACCTTAGCCTGATCAATCTCACCGGCGAACGTAAGAGAGATGGGCATTGCTATCCGCTTCTCAAGCAGGCAGCTAACCTTTCCGGCACTGTCGACCTGAGCTCGGAAAGTGGATGCTCGGAAGTCGTACTTGGCACCGATGGCAGTAGTGCCATCTCTGCTGGGACCGCCCATCATAGCTGCGGCTGCGTTGGGCGCAAACTGCAAGTTCATATCAACACCGGCCTCAACACGCTCAGAGAGTTTCTTCCAGTAAGATGCTGTGAAGACTCCTTGAGCCTGGAGCTGGGCACTGGCGATCCAGTCATTGGCCTTGTACCGGGCGCTGTAGGATATCGCAGTTTCTGGGCGAGTATTCATAGCCTGGCGCTGCCAGATAGCCTCGAATCCAAGAGCCAGGCTGGGGGTAACGGACTGGAGATAGCTTCCGACAAAGATGCCAGTAAGACCCCCATCCAAGAAGGATGGGTTGAAGGCCTTGATCGAGGCTGAGAAGTCATCGCCAGTGTAGTCATTATCGATCTGCATAAGACCCTGGCTGGCGCCAGCATGATCTGGGTGTTGGTCTTCGTGACCAGCTTTGGGCTCCAACGATAGTTGCCGACAGCGGCGAGTGCGCCGTCGCTTCCGAAGTTACCTTGCATGAAAACCTTTATCCAGATCATACGCTCAGCATCCATAGTAAAGAGTATAGTCACGGCGAAGGGGAATGCAGAGTGACAGTATAGCCTACCTTTGGACTTCCATACATGGCCGAGAAGGCATAGGGAGGCAGGTTCCCCGACGAGCCCATGGAGAATGCATGCGACACACGAAACAGAGGAGACATGCCAAAGACCTTCGTTAGGTCTGCACGGAGACCCGAGAACATAAAATTGGACAGCAAGACCTCCTTTTGCACTTCCCTAGCGATGTTATCCACGGTTCCGGGGTTTGGCAGACCGAGAGCCGCCCTTCGCTCCGAGAAAGAAGTGTATGCATCCTTTATGACAGCAGCGACGGAATTATCCGTGAGATAGGAAGGAGAAGCTAGGTATTCGGCCATTGTGACTAATTGGAAATGATTAATGGCCGTTCAGGGAGAAAAGCAATGATGGACACGAGTGGTCGTCGCGCGGGCCTGAGAAAATGGTTGATGAAAACAAGGAAGGATTTGAGACCAGCCCTTTACTTGAGATTCAAGTATATAAAAGCAACTGCAAAGTTGCAAATCGACCGCTATATGGCGGGCTATGTCTGGCCTGCTCTGGTCGAGTAAGGATTTGAGGAAGAAAGATGTCAGGGCAGGTTTGACTGACTAGGTATTGATGATTCCGTCGCTTTTGGAACTGAAAAAAGTCACTTTTGCTTTTCCGCCCGGTTGCACCTTTGGTGTCTCCGGACAGCCGAAATGCACTAGCCTCTTTCGGGCCTTCTCGGGATAGAAGCTTGGGATGAGCAAGTCGCAACAGACAGGTATCCTAGTAGAAGCTCCAATCGTCCAAGTAGAGCTCTAGATTCTAGATGTTTCGTTTTGACCCTCGTGTAGCTAATGCCTAGAGCTTCAGGAAAGATCTGAGAAGTATCGACCACTCCTATCTAATTGTGCTCGGGGGTCAAAACTGACTTAGTTCGGTGTTGAATCGGGTACAGTACATACCTCCGTCGCCGAAAATCACAAGGTTCACTGCTTGGACCAACGTACTCGTCCAACACTTTCTCACGCATAACCCCATTACTTTAGCTCCTTGAGTCTTTCTCGCTCCTCTTTTATCTCCTTCTTACGTGTTTTCGAATTTCGATCATTTACACTCTTCTAAACCACCGTTTTATATTCCGGTTGCCTGCTACCTCACTGGACCTCGGACCCATTAATCCCCTCTGTACTATGGACACCCTATTGTAAGCTATGTTCTGAAGCCCCTCCAATCGCCTATTCCTTCTGTGCACAGTTGCTCTTGATAGTATCACGGAAGTGACTACTACTCGGGGAATTGCTCCTCAAGATCAGAAACTGATACACGGGTTTATTGTAATATGAGTTCATTCACATTGACATCAGGCTAGAACTGCGGATATTGTTGCTAACTCCCCTCGATTCCGGCGAAAGTCGTCAACATTTGTTGATGCAATTCATGATCTGCCCGAAAAGGCCGATTTAGCACCGGCTCAGTTGTATAGTACAGAGTCTGGCCGACTTTTCCACTCGGGCCGGATTGTTATTATTACTGTGGGCTTACCAGCGAGGGGCAAGACGTTTGTTTACCAAAAACCCGCCGTATTTATACTAGCGCCATTACTGACCTATCGCGCCAATCTTAGACATATATCGGTAGCTCTGGCGCGCTATCTTCGGTGGTGCGTTGTGTTATTATCGTCGACTTCCTCTGTTTGAGCTGATTGCGTCGCAGGTTGGGCGTTAAGACCAGGATCTTCCACCTTGGAGACTACAGGCGTGCTACTATCCCAGTTGGTCAGGATATCCCTGATGATTACTTCTTTGTTAACGGTTAGTGAACTACCCACTGAGCCGTTTGTACTACTCAGTAGCTGGGCGACTCATGTTAACTTACGTCATTCTTAATTAGCATCTGCTTCCTCCGTACTTTTGAGACAAAAAATTGTAAAACGGTGCCGGGAAGACATATATCAATTTCTGAACGATGAAAATGGCCAGATAGCAATATATGATGCTGTGAACCCCTTAGCTTCGGGACGACGATCGCTTGCGAAGGAGTTCGCTAAGCATGATATTGAGGTATGCAAATACTCATCCCTTGTGACCATGCATGTACAGCGCTTACGAGTTTCCGCGGATAAGACCCTCTTTATTGAGTCCTGGTGCGATGATGAGCGCATTATCGAAGAGAATGTCCTTCGTGTAAAAATATCTTCACCTGACGTGAGTACAAGCTCCTTCCCAGCGGCAGTCGATGCTTTGAACCCAACGATTGATATTTAGTAGTATGTAGGCTGGACCTCGGAGGAGGCAGTGAAGCACTATTTGACCCGTATAAACGCTCGGATCCCTCAATTCCAGACGATGGAGGAAAAAGATCTGAATTATATCAAGGTGATAGCGCTTCGTGGTTAGCCTTGAGTTGTATACTAACCTGAAACAGATGATCAATGCTGGCGAAAGGCTGATTGTTAACAATCGAAGTTTTGGTTATCTTTCCCATCGGATCGTTTTTTATCTTCTCAACCTTCACATAAAATCTAGACATACATATTTCGCACGGGTGGGTGGATACTTTGCAGTCTTGCATCATTCATATCTTGTTCGGTGTCTGACAAATATATCACCAGGCCGGTGTTTCCCTGGAAGCGGACTCTTACAAAGCCGATGCTTCCTTGTCAGAACAAGGAGAGGACTATGCTAAGAAAATGACTGAATGTCTATTGAGGCACAGAGAGTCTGAGAAGCAAGCAACAATCGACCAAGGAGAGACAGACTATGAGTTGAAACCTTTGACAGTTTGGACTTCCACCAGGCGTAGGACAATCGAAACTGCAAAGTATCTTCACGAGACAGGATACAAAGTCCGACAGAGATCACAACTGAGCCAGTTGAACCCAGGTGTTTGCGAAAAGATGTCAGAAAAGAAGATTCGCGAGGAATATCCAGACGAGGTGGCAAAGCATGAATTGGACCCTTATCACCATAGGTACCCTCGGGCAGAGGTAGGTACTCTTTTTCTCGTTGATATGATGATGGTTGCTGACCGAGTTGCACTATAACAGTCGTATCACGACCTTGCTGTGCGCCTTGAGCCTATAATATTGGAGCTTGAACGTGAGCAGAATGACCTCCTCATTATTGCACATGAAAGTGTCCTAAGGGTTCTATACGGCTATCTTATGGCATGCAATGCGGCGGATATTCCATTCCTAGAGTTCCCCCGAGACGAGATAATTGAGGTATGATTGCAACGAGTCGAACTATTGAACATGTTACTGACTACTTTCCTCAGATCATCCCGGAGAGCTACCAAAATGAGGCTCGCAGGATCCATATTCCGGACCTCCCCAAGGAAATCATCCCTGGGTCACCCCAAGACATCAAAATACCCGTGCCCCCCAGTGGGGTCACAACCCCTTTGGTTGGAGGATTAAGTAGTCCACAAGAAGGGTTTTCGACGCCACAAAGCGGACTTCGGACCCCTCGGGAGCCTGAGAGAATATCCCAGCAGCATGTTGAGGATGTCGTTTAATCCTATGCTAGTACAGCCGGGTTTTGAAGAGCAGCGAACATAGTCACTACCCTGATCCTATCATCTTTGTGGCATCAATGGTGGTGATTGAGAACATAGATTATAAGAACTGTTATCCTCCATGTAGCGTAGAAACGAAGACAATGTTGTCGCCAGGTTGGAGCTCATAGTTTTCTTCGCCCTCCAGTTCCCAGTCTGCATCGTTGATGAGGACAAGGATACCAGGACGCCTAGTATATACCATTAGCGCAGTTCCCTAGTGTGACTCCATGGAAACGTACACATTGCCCTCCAATATGAACAATTCCTTTCTTTCGTCCTTCATCACATTTTCGACAAGGTATTCGAGAAGGAAGCTTATTCTCGGCCGGCCACCGTCACTCAGCTGTGCAGGTAATGTGACACCATGCTTGCGCTCATTGGCGAAAAGCATTTCAAGGCCACCACTATATGATATCAGGAAGTTAGTAACTCAATCCACGAAGGTAATAAATAGCCGGGGACCAGGGGGAGGAGGGGGGAATGAACGTGAACTCAACGGTGACAGAGAAGGAGCCAGGAGCCTCCACTCTCGCGCTCTCAAGACTAATCTCTGTGTCGGTGGCCATGTTGAAATATTATGCTGGGATGCTTGACTTTAGCCCTGTTGGAGTGTACAGTATGTACTGGACGTGAAGGCTCAGCTGTGGTGGGAAGGAACAGGGGTTTTCCAGTGTTGTGAGCCGTCGTCCTTATCGATAAGCGTCAAAGGGTTCGCAGCACAAAAAGTCATTCTGTGATGTCCTCCAGCATTTGCGACAACCCCTCCTTTTATATCTCTGTCTCCACGCCACGAAATACGCCGAAAATATACTCTATAGGCATTACACCCCAAAAGTTCAAGCCCATGGTATCCATCACAAGCGATTATATCAGCGTCGGCGGAAATAGGCATCCCGCCGCCGCCGACTGGGATGTTCAGTCCGGGGTGCTTGCCTTTGGTGCAGACAACAATGTGGCTTTGTGGGACCCTAAGGTACGGATAATTGCGTAGATAATGCTTGTGTTTGGTACCTGCTGCTTTTATCAAGGATGTTGGCTAAACATCTAACTTCGCGCGCAGGATAAGTTTCAGTGTGGGGTCTACTCTCTTCTTGTCGGTCATACCGACAAGGTCAATGCTGTTAAATTTTGTACATGTCCCACTACGAGCACAAAATTCCTTATCACTGCCTCTGCCGATCACACAGTCCGGATATGGCAAGCTGTAACAGGTACCCGTCTCCAATTCAAGCATGCGCAAACCCTAGAAGGTCATACAAGCTCGATAAACACAATCGCTGTCTGTGATGGAGCGGGTCTCGTTGCATCGGGGGCGGCAGATGGAAGTGTTAAAATTTGGAGGATAACGTTCCAGGACGAAGGAGCTAAGAGCGAGCTACTCACAACCATAATTATGAAACCACGCTTTTTCCCTCTGGCATTGGCACTCAAGTCGCTCCAGGCAGATGGACCCATGATATTGGCAGTCGCAGGTACTACAAATATCGTACATATTTACATCCTTGAAGACCTCCTCGGTGATACTAGTTTCAGGCTTGCTGCTGTGCTATCTGGTCACGAGGCTTGGGTGCGCTCTCTGTCGTTCACGCGGGATAAGCAGAGCAAAACAGGAGACATCCTGCTCGCATCTGCTAGTCAGGACAAGTATATCCGTCTCTGGCGAATTCAACGCGGGGAGGTTACCCTTGCAGCGCCGGCAGGAGACGAGGATCCCGTGCTAGGCGAACTCGAACCGACATTATCAAACAAAGCTCATCAATTTAATGCAGCGGGGTCGAAGTACTCTGTTACCTTTGAAGCTCTTCTGTTCGGAAATGAGGACTGGATTTACACGACTACATGGAACCCCAACCCCGAACGTCAACAGCTTCTCTCTGCTTCTGCGGATAATACGTTGACCATCTGGGAACAAGATACCGTCTCGGGAGTTTGGGTTTCGGCTGAAAGGATGGGGGAAATTAGTGTTCAAAAAGGGTCTACTACAGCTACAGGTAGCACTGGTGGGTTCTGGATTGGCCTCTGGTCACCGGACGGTAACCAAGTAGTAAGCCTTGGGCGAACAGGCAGCTGGAGGGCATGGAGCTATGATGCAGATGCGGACGTCTGGGTGCAGACACTGGGCATATCGGGACATGTGCGCTCGGTTAATGGTGTACGGTGGGAACCGTCTGGGGGCTATTTATTGTCTACCAGTGCAGACCAGACGACTCGGCTTCATGCACAGTGGCTACGAGATGGAAAACAGTCGTGGCATGAGTTCTCAAGGCCACAGATTCACGGTTACGATCTGAACTGTGTCGATACATTGGGACCTGCGCGCTTCGTTTCCGGCGCAGATGAGAAGCTTTTGCGGGTGTTCAACGAGCCCAAACCAATTGCTAAGTTACTAGAGAAACTTTCTGCATTCAAGCAATTAGCAGAGGGAGAACTGCCAGATACGGCTCAGATCCCAGTTTTGGGTCTCTCAAACCAATCGATGGGAGAAGCTCCAATGGGCGAGGGAGAAGGGGAGGAGGCAAATGCCACCAATATTGGCCAAGCCAGGCAAATCAGACAATACTCTCGGATTCAAATCAGCCACCCTTAGAAGATCAGCTAGCGCGTTACACATTATGGCCAGAGCACGAAAAACTCTACGGTCATGGCTATGAAATTTCGGCTGTGGCCGTCAGCCATGACTGCACGCTCATTGCTACGGCCTGTAAGGCGAGCTCAATAGATCATGCAGTGGTTCGTCTCTATGATACATCGGACTGGCATGAAATACGGCCTTCCCTTGCAGCCCATTCTTTGACTATTACAAGTCTTTCATTTTCTCGCGATGACCAGTACCTTCTGAGTGTTGGGCGAGACCGGCAGTGGGCAGTTTACAGCCGCAGTGAACAAGACCGATCTGCGTTCTCACTCATAGAATCTCACCCTAAGGGCCATTCAAGGATGATCTTGGACGCCGCTTGGGCCCCTGTACCGGATATTCACACCTTCGCCACAGCTGGTCGCGATAAGTTAGTGAAAATCTGGCAAATTAGCAAAGGGTCCTTTGTATGCAAAACAACAGTCACACTGAAGAGCTCCGTTACTGCAATATCGTTCTTCCCGAAGGTGCAGGCGAATTCACTCTTCCTCGCGACAGGCGAGGATAGCGGCGAATTGTCGATATACAGAATCGCAGTTGACAGCCTGGAGGCAACCCATCTGGGCAATATCGACAGGCTGATATCCCCATCCAAGGCGATCACACAGCTCGCATGGCGACCTTCCGCGAAATATGATACCAGCCAAGACGAATATAGTCTCAAGCTTGCCGTTGCAAGTGAAGATACCTCAACGCGTATATATTCTATTTCCAGCATGGTTTCATGAGATGCAACATGATTCATATATATACATGCAAAGCAAAGAATACTGGTGACATCTATTCTTGTTGAAGGAATTATCGAATGTTGAAGGTATCCGCTGGAGTTGATCCTCATATTTCAATGCAGTGAAGCCCTTTCCATGCGTGCCATGCCATGGTAAAAGTAAATATTTTTGAATGAGCCGCAAAAATAAATAATGATAAATAAGTAAACAGATAGACTGAGAAGAAAGAAAACAGTAAAGGGCGAAAAGGAGATGAATAGGGAAGGGGTCTAAGCCAGAACGAGACTGATAGGATTAGAGGCATTGGTTCAATTCTTTTTTCAAAGCCATATCCCCCCATCCCATCAAACGACTCGTAGGTCTTGGCTTGGCCATGCCGCCCATTTCTAGGACCTCTGGCCTTGAGATCTTCCTTGAGCCACTTTAGAACGAGCTCTCCAAGCTGGCTATTTTCGGATGTTTCAGGCACTTCTTTCTGGAACTTTTCAATTGGGCCCCACTGCTTGACATTACCAAGATTCATGTGCACCAAATGTGTTGGCCATTGAGACAAATTGTCCAAGATGTGTGTCGCATACACTATGGTGCAAGGTCTAGTTTCGGTCTCGCGCTTTAGAAAAGAGAGGAAATTATGGCGGGATAGCAGGTCCAGGTCAACGGTGATTTCATCGAGGAGTAGGACTTGCCAGGGTCGGAGCAGACCCATGGCCAACTGGACGCGGCGCCGCTCTCCATCAGACACAGCATGCATGCGCCACCGCAAGTCAATATCGAGAATATCTACAAGCTCGTCCCTCCGCTCGGGATAGGCATTCCCGCCCACAGAAGCCAATAGTGTAGGAACGTCGATGTCCGTCCGGACAATATTGTTAAGAACCCACTCGACGCCTAGATAAGTCACACCTTCTAGACCCTCCTTGAAGGGGTCCTTGCCGCCGACGGTGATTGTGTCGTCGGGAGCGAGACGCTTGCCCGCGAGCAACCGTAGAAGGGTGGTTTTTCCCGCTCCATTGGCTACCGTTGACGTTAGCCATTGGAGAAACCATAATCAATGGCGGGCCGAAACAATGCGCTTACCTCCGATGAGTAAAGTTCGACTTCCGGCTGGTAAGTCGAGGCTTACACCTGCCAGGCCGGATGAACCATCCTGAAATTGATATGACAGATTTTTAACCCGGATTGACGGTATGTTGGCCATGGCGGCGGAGTGAAAGAGAACGAGAAAGAGAACGAGAAAGAGAGAGAGAAAGAGAGAGAGAGAGAGAGAGAGCAATGAGGAATCTGTGGCTCGTTCCCAGCAACGAAATCTAAGCAAGGGGATCGGAGGGGCTGAAAGACGACGTTGGGTCACTACTACTTCTACGGAGTACTTTAGTTATTTTGATAATATGATTACTACTCCGTAAAATGATGAGATCAGATTAAACCTGCCTGACGGCTCCGCTTTGCCCGATAAGGTTAACGCCCTCCTCGAGGTATCCGCCAGTCCAATCTTTTCCCCTCATTCCGACCTTGGTGGTTTTTTTTTTCTTTTTGTCAGTAAAAGACGTCTCTACGATCCCCAGTTGGCGTGATATCGCTGCCGTAATTTTGTCGAGCAAGGGGACTAGCCGGAGACAAAAATGGTTTTTGTCTCCTCTCATGCGCCCTTTTCTCCGGTACCCTTTCTTTGCTAGACGTCCGCCCAACATGGAGCCCCTCATAGCCATAGTCGGTGCCACGGGTACTGGCAAGTCCAAGGTGGGTGATCGCATTGCTGATGATCATCTATGAATCTCGATTGCTAATGACTGCAGATAGCTTGCAGTGGACCTGGCTACTCGTTTCAACGGTGAGATTATTAACGGAGATGCGATGCAAATGTACCGCGGCCTCCCCATCATCACAAATCAAATACCAATGGATGAACGGAACAATATCCCACATCATCTAATCAGCTGCATCGAGTTGGATGAAGAACCATGGCGCATAGGATTGTTCAAGAGTGAATGCCTTCGAATCATTAAGGACATCCACTCTAGAGGGAAACTCCCGATCCTGGTGGGCGGAACTCACTACTATACGCAAGCTGTGTTGTTTAAAGACCAGCTAGTCGGGGAGGGATCGGACGAGATTCAGGGATCAGGTGCACGCTCCGACGGAGAGACCGAGGAATCGTCGACAAAATGGCCAATTCTCGATGCCCCGACAGACGTGGTGTTACGGAAATTAAGAGAAGTTGACCCGGTCATGGCTGATCGATGGCATCCAAACGACACGCGAAAAATCCGTCGTTCCTTGGAGATCTACTTTCAGACGGGACGTCCTGCATCGGAAGTTTACGCAGATCAAAAACGCCTGAAGCAGGCGGCTCTGGCCAACGGTGATCCTTCTGCCGGCGAGGGCCAGTTACGGTTTCCGACGATGGTTTTCTGGATTCATTCAGAGAGGGAGGCTCTTATTGCTCGACTTGATAAACGAGTGGATGTGATGATCGAGCAAGGTCTGATGTCCGAAGCACAGAGGATGTCAGACTATATCCGAGAAAGGAGGACACAAGGCTGTAGCATCGATCCGACACGGGGCGTTTGGGTGGCCATTGGGTTTAAGGAACTAGCGCCTTATTTTGAAGCCCTACACAAGAGATCCCTAAGCGGCGACGAATTGGAATCCCTGAAAGAATCTTGTATCGAGTCTATCAAGATTGCCACCCGCCAGTATTCGGCCTCGCAAGTCAAATGGATTCGAAACAAGCTATGGAACACCCTTGCAGAGACCGGTACGGCGCATCGCCTTTACCTTCTAGATAGCACAAATGTGGAAGATTGGGGGAGTTGCATCACGGAGCCGTCCGAGCTCTTAACCCAGGCCTTACTCAAAGACGAATCTGCCCCGGACCCAAAGTCACTCTCAGAGTTAGCAAAAACCATCCTGGGCGCAAAAGAAGCTCAGTCGCAAAAGGGCCCAGGTTTCGCGGCGAAATGTTTCACCTGCGACGTTTGCCGCAAAACAATGGTAAATGAAGAGCAGTGGAACATCCATCTCAATGGACATAGCCATAAACGAGTTCTCAAGCTATGGCCAAAAGAGCGGAACGGGAGAAATCTCTACAGGCTCGGGAAGACAATACGAGAAGGATCTCTCGTGACACAGGCAGTGAATCACTAGAAGAGCAGAACTTTCTTTCGGACCTATTTCAGTAGATATGAAATCTATCAAAGTGAACTCATCGATGCAAATTTATCTGGGCTTAGTCGAATACCAACAGTAACTGTAACAACATCCCCGATCTGTTGAACAAATTGTAACCTTTACTATTTCGACATTTCGAATGACGCAATTCAGGAGCATCATGAACGCGACCCAATCCTATGGAGCTTGAATTTTCTAGACCAGTCGTTTACGATCTGGGCTCTCTCATTCTCTTCCCTTGTGCTAATGCGCTCGCGTAGTAAATCTTGTCGCCATAGTGATTGACGATTTGGGCCACACCATGCAAAACGTTGCCATACGTCTGCCTGTAAGTGCTTGACCGGCTCCACATAATGTGTGCATGACTACCATAGCTGGTTAATCAGTTGCAGTCTCCCCCTTGATTATTAAATCTTAAGTAAGACCGGTGGATGGACTGGGCTTGATTTTAGACGCATGTAATAGTTCAGCATCCTCGAACCCGAATGAGCATATGGAGACAAATTCATGGCATAGAACTGGCAGACCTCATGTCTTTGACCGCCAGGTTGAGAATGATGGCGAAATTATATCACCCGTTCCACTCTCTTCGAGTCTGAATACTTCAATAATGGATGACTTCTCGAGCTTTCGAATTCTCCACATCCCTTCCTCATTAATAGTAGATTTTAGCCCTAAAGCTCATTAGCATGCGATACAGGGTATCAAACGCCTTGGGAGTTCCTACATTCGAGAAAAGCACTAGTGAAGTTGATGCAAATGTTCCCGTCCCAGGTACCCCTACTAGCGTTTTTGACTTTATTTGGTATGCTGGCAGTCTCGAGCTCTTCTAAGCGATGGACGATACCACGCTGATCACGAAAACCTACAATGATTTTGGGAACACCAAGCAAGAATGACTGTGCCCAGAATTTTAACAGTTTCCGCTCATATTTCAACATGTCCCGATCATTCCTGATCTCTGCAGATGTTTTGAGTTCCACCCAGTGGATACCGTCTTCTTTTCGAGCAGGCTTGCAATCCCAGACTGTCCAGTTATTAGCATGTGCGCTCGGATAAATTTAGTCCTCTCCATACCGGCATCAACCTCGCCCCCGATTATCAGTCGCGTCTTGCCTATTCCTGTACGTACAACTGAACAGTATTGGGCGTTGTTGTTCACAGCCAGCTCATCTCGGGATTCAATCTCTTCACGTGTAGTCGCGTCCCATGGCTGGTTGAGAAGAGATATTGTTTCGAATTTGTACCCTAATTCAATCAACAACTGACACTAGAATGAAGGAGGCGCATAATACGCTACCCCAATAGGCCATCATATCCTGAGAAGGCATCCCTGGGGGCATTCGTTGATTCTTTTGTAACTGTTTTTGCTGGTTCTTGTAGAGATTGTTCTCTTCAATGAATCTAGACAACGTTTAGAATGTATATGACCGGTATGGCCATGTTAATGTGCTTACATAGTATCCTGAGGCACAATGGTTAGCTTCGGGATACCACGAAAAGGACTAAATAGGCCCTGGATGGAACTCACTTGGAACCGGGTCGCATTCATTTCGAATCTACATATGATTGAGTGAAGAGCAACGTTGTAGCGATCGGTAATTGTACATACCCATTCAAATTGTCGAATGGTGCCGTCAGGATCTAGACGAGTGCCATTGTCAACTTACGAGTTGAAGTTAGGGTACCAGCCCCTGATCAAGTAGCTTACTTTGGTCATCATTCCCCTCCACGTGATGATGTCGGCCTCACATTTTTTCCCTGTCTCCTTTTCTAAAGCCATGATCGTTTCCAGTAGAGCATCTAGATGCTCATCTGCTGAGTCATCCAACTTTTGGAAGGTATCATAACCGCAATTCAAGTCTGCAGGAAGACGTGGTGGATAGTAGTATCGTAGGGACGAATCCCCTAAATGAAAGATGTGCTGGTCGTCATATGAAAAGCAAGTGATCTCCTGCGTGATGTTTACATTATTGAAACCATGCAGGACGGAACGGCCGACCTACCTTAGGACGGCGAATTGTAGCATTGGATCCATAGAAGCGGCCAATCGGCTGTATGTCAAAGGTGCTTTGATTCATAGCGCTTCGGGATGCGTTTTGAGTATACTAGTGATGTGATTCAACAACGTATAATCAGTAGTACGTTGCAGCTAGGGAAAGGAAAGGGTTAAGATAAGTAAAGGAAGAATGGGGGCTAGTGAAAGTCAAAAATATAAAAAAAATAAGAATAGAAATGAGAGTGATCGCAACATTCAATAGTAGGCCAAGCGAATAACTATAGCGTCTACCTGGACATGCGACTAGGGTACTCCGTAGGGAAGTTTTAAAGGCAGTTTGGGTAAAGAAGGGTATCCAGCTGTGCTTTGTATCTAGCCGGGAGCGTGATGTAGTTAGATAGAATACTAGGTATTATTAGTATTCTCCCAGAATAGGGTTAGCGCCGTATCCATGACGAATATTGAAGAAAAGTAACAGAATTGAGCATCGCCAATGGTTCACAGGTTTATTCCATGCTATCATACCTTTTTTGAATTCAATCGGACCATGTCAAAGAAAACATGAGCATGCAAAATTGTACTGTAGTAGTTCAGTTGTATTCGTCTCTCTGGTGTTCTGGATTTGAGAGCCGAAGTTGTCCCACCAAACTCTCAGTAGCTACTGTATTGCCGGACTCTTTTGAGTCCGCTTCTCACTCCCCCCCCCCTCTTCCTCACCTCCGTTTTCTGACACCTACACTTACTGAGTTGCGTTTTCTTTCCCCACCATAATTTAATATCGCTCTCTACTTGTTGTCCTCACTTCCGATCATCTCGCTGTTTCCAAAACATTTCACTGCCTTGAACACGAAGCAGGATGACCTCACGTATCGAGAAGACCATTGCTCGGCAACGAGAAAAGTAGGAACATCACGGAGCCCGCGTACTTGCCTTTATATCAATTTTATCTCGGTGGTAACTTTGCATAGCAAGGAGCTAATTATTTTGGCGGCTACAGGATAGCCTCCGGTGCTTACTACGAGGCTCATCAGCAACTGAGGGTCATCGCTGCGCGGTATATCAAACAAGCGAATTACGATGCGGCCGCGGAGTTACTGGCAGGGGGTGCGACTGCACTTTTAAGGGCTGGGTCTCAGCAAGGCGCTTCTGCCAGTGGCGGGGACTTGGCTATTATGCTTGTCGTCGAGGTGTACACGAAGGCGGGGTGGGAGATTACTGCAAGTGATGATGATACGGAAGGCCGTGCTCGAAAGAGTAAGTCTCGAGAAACATCCCTCTCTGTCTAAGTTTTACAATGAAAGTTGGGCTTTGGCTAAGTTGCTGATTTTGCCTAATTGCAGAGCGCCTTATCGAGCTCCTTCATGAATTCCCATCCGAGGAACCAACTCGCAAAAGGTTCATACAGGAGATGATTGGCTGGAGTGGACGGTTTGGGCCTCTAGAGAGAGGCGACCCCGATTTACATCATGCAGCTGGATCGGTGTATGCCGAAGGTATGTAAATATGCGCCGGGAAGTATATGTTCATGTTTTCCTTAACCAATGGCTTTAGACCACGAACCCTACGACGCTGAAAAGCATCTGATCCTCGGAACCTCAGAATCAGCTGAAACCCTGGCAAAATTAGAGCATGAGTGGTACACAAATGACGAACCGCACACGGCAGCAATTTACGCATCCCGCGCAGTTTTCCCGTACCTCCTGACCGGAAATCTGCGCAGTGCTAATAAAGCATTCCTCATCTTCACGTCCCGACTTTCGTCTTCTACTCCTTCCCCCCTTTCACAGGATGTCAGCAGCTCTAGTACTGATGTGCGAGTCTTTCCCGCATTGCCTTTGCTGAATTTCATCAGCATGCTTCTCCTCACGATTCAACGCGGCAGCGCGGACCTTTTCAAACAGTTAACATCTCATTATGCATCGCAAATCCAAGAGGTCGGCATGTGGGATGATTTCTTGGCTCAGATTGGTGAGCAGTATTTCAGTATTAAGATCCCAAGACAGGGAAACCCTTTGCTGGATATGATGGGTAGCATGCTGTTCGGAGGGGGGCAGGGCAGTACAGGTGGAAGGATGCCGCAAAGCCGAGGCTCATCCAAGAAAGTCGAAGCGCCACCGGCAAATCCGGAGCTCGACTAGTTTAATAGAAGGCAGTACCTGCGGTGTATACAGATCGGACATAGTCTGCACAGCTTTGTCATGGAGGTATTCATGCATCATGTAAGTGACATCGACTAAAATAGCGAGTCGGGTTCTGGTTCGTATATCCAGTTGTCTTCATCCAGGGAAGCAACTTTGTTCCGAAGGCTCTGATGGATGAGGTTCAGGATCTCTAAGGAAACCAATCAGCTGTAATCGAACCAGATCCAACCGCGTGGAGCAGCATAAGGGTAAAACTTACCAGCTGGTTCGGTGCTCATCTGCCTGTTCCGACTTCGGTACATCATCTCTACCAGACTTGCCTCGATTTCTAGATCAATGGCGATCAGTATGTTATCGGCCAATAATGGACGGATAGTCGAAGTCAACTTACTCTCTTTCTCGTGTCCGCTAATTTCCGTCTGTGCTGTGGACTCAGCCCCCGTAGGCCCAGATCCTCTAGTAGCTCCACCTTCCATGCCGTCCATCTCATCCCCATCCTCTCCAACGGCCGGCGGAAGAACGGGGATGTCGAGCTTGTAATCACCATTTTTATCCTTCACCACGATCTCCTCGCCATCGGCTGTGCCGGGGCCCAGCGACTGTGTCGATTCAGACGACGCAGATGGCATAACATGAGAGGAGAGACTAGTCAGCCCACCGTTTGTACCACTTTGCATCGAGGCATTGGGGAGAGCTGCCGGTACAGAGCGTTTGCTGAGATGGTGGTGGAAAATATTGCGGCGGACAGATGTTGTCCCCATCGTGGAATTAATATTCAACTGTATATCGGCGAAGTACGAAAGACGCGGTGAATAGAGCCCTTTATCGGTTTTCCTTTTAACCCCTGTTTTCTCTCGCACAAGAACAAGCTATTGCTTCGGAGTTCAGGCGAATACACCAAGTGAGTAGATAATGATGGGCTCCTTGTAGAGATACAATTAAAACTATTAGGATAAAATCTAGGAAGAGCCATAAATATAAGGTACAAAGGAGTGAAACATCAGTTGAGCTTGCAGCTGTAGCGAGCTGTTGAGGGAGTAGGAATTGAATGATAAAAGTGGGGCTTAGAACCGCACTTGGCAACTGGCCAGTGTCTTTCTGTTTTTATCATCGCTTCGCGCCTTGGAATTGTTGCCAGTCACGATAGAAGACCGAGTAGTACAGAAGATATCATGTCTCCGTTCAAATCTGTGTAGTCATGCCTACCACTAGTAGTCATTATATGGGACTTCGTCGTACTTGAGTACTTAATTTAGCTGTACGATGCCAAGAGAGCACGGGATCTGATTAATCCCAATTAGGCTAAAATGCATCTCGACGCGTCTTTGGGCGACTTTCGCGTCCCCCGAGCAAACCAGCTTTTGCTTGCTGAGACAACTTAAACCTAGCAACTAGTCCCTGGGGATATCACAACGGCTGCACAATGGTTCAAGCCGAATCTTCATCAAATGCTGCTCGCGATGGCCTCAAGCCCGTCACAGCGGGGCCCCTGATTATGAGCTGCCGTGGTACATGATTGCAATCGTTGTTGCTCAATAGGAAGACCAATTCTAACATAGGACCATTCATAGGGTTGAAAAGTACCGTCCAGTCTTTCTTGATGATGTTGTCGGCAACACAGAAACTATTGAACGATTGAAGATTATCGCGAAGGATGGCAATATGCCACACGTCATTATCTCAGGCATGCCTGGTATCGGAAAGACCACTTCTATCCTATGTCTAGCACGGCAATTACTAGGTGATGCGTATAAGGAAGCCGTGTTGGAATTGAATGCCAGTGATGAGAGAGGTGTGAAATGCATCGCCCACGAACTATGACAGGCAACGGCTGATGGAGTCCCAGGTATTGATGTCGTTCGGAACCGAATTAAGGGATTTGCCCAAAAGAAAGTCACACTGCCCCCGGGTCGTCATAAGATAATCATCCTCGATGAAGCAGACAGGTACACATTAAAGAAACCCTCGCATACGCATACCTGTTTAGCTTATTTACTGATCGCGATTCAGTATGACGCCAGGTGCTCAGCAGGCGTTGCGGCGCACCATGGAGATCTACTCTTCTACTACACGATTTGCCTTTGCATGTAACCAATCGAATAAAATCATAGAGCCCATCCAGTCTCGATGCGCCATTCTCCGCTATGCTCGATTGACCGATGGGCAGGTTGTCAAACGACTAAAACAGGTCTGCGATGCCGAAAAGGTGGAACACACAGAAGACGGAATTGCGGCCCTGGTGTTTAGCGCGGAAGGAGACATGCGTCAGGCCATTAACAACTTGCAAAGTACGTGGTCAGGCTTCGGCTTTGTCAGCGGCGATAATGTCTTTCGAGTTGTCGACAGTCCCCATCCTATCAAAGTTCAAGCGATGATCAAGGCCTGCTGGGAAGGGAAAGTAGATGCCGCCTTAGAAACATTAAACGAGCTATGGTATGTGTACATGAAGCGTGATGCTACAGTTTTTTATGCCTAAACTTACTTCTTCTGTAGGGACTTGGGTTACTCTTCCCATGACATCATTAGCACAATGTTCCGAGTCACAAAGACGATCCCGACATTATCAGAACACTCTAAACTAGAGTTCATCCGGGAGATAGGCTTTACACATATGCGCATTCTAGACGGTGTGCAGTCGTTGCTGCAATTGAGCGGCTGTATTGCGAAGCTTTGCAAGATCAACATGAAACCCCAGCTGTTTGAAACCTCAAGAACTTGATCAGATTGGAGGGAAAGGAACCGGGCATTTTGCGGTGTTTAGAGGCGTTGAACAAAAGAATGTTTAATTTACACACAGGTGTTTTATTTAGTAGTCCCCCATTTCATAAGAAGTTAATGATCTATTTGGCCCTCGGGCAGACCTGGGCTTGGAATAGAAATTGAACAGAAAACTGGAGTTTCTTTCAAAGACGATATGAATTCACGACGAGCCCGACGGGTCTTGGTTAGACTGCATTCTGGTAGTGGCGCACGACTGGACAACCTTAGAGGTCATGAATGCTCAGTTTGTCTTAGGAGCTGCTGGCATCTTCACATCCCCTGGCGGGTTATTCTTGACTTTGCAGATTTGTTCCATGGCCACTCATTCGTTCTCATGCTTCACGATGAGTCACTGATCCTATAAAAGCTTAGTACTTGTCTGTATATTTCCCTCCTATGGTCCCAACCAACCGGCCACGGCGGCGACTCCGTAGCCAAGCAGAGCACGCTTTTCCCCCATGTTTCTACCTCAGATGGAGTAGCAGCTACAGCTGAAGTTGAAGGTAGCACAATACATCGAATACGGCTTATCATCATTCAATCAATTCAACTGTCTCCTTTCCGCGATAGCTCTAGTTGTATAAGTACTACTTCCTGTTGAGAGTGGGGAACCCTCTACTACTACGTGTGCTTATCATAACTTACCCCTCATTCTCAGATGTATACTCCAACGTTTAAGTAGGCATTTACTCCAAATCTCGTTCGGATTACTCCAAGCTAGAGCAAACTCCACAAACCATGCATTGCCCGACGCGGAGTGTTAAGTAAAATTGCCTGAAGACAAATGTCCGACATCAACGTAAGCACAATGATAGCTTCCCCAACCATGAAAATTAGAGATCTCTCCAGATTCTCTCGATAACGGTTGCAGCCCCCAACACCTTTTCCTCATTCAGTTTCTTTCCGATGACTTGGACGTTGATGGGATGGCCTTCCATAGCCTTCACGTCATAAAGATCCCAGTTCCATGCGTCCAGCTCATTCCTCGGGTGATATGTCTTTTGCACGCTATCTACAGCCACTCTTACTTCGTCAACAGGGAAGGTGACAGCTGGATAGTCGAGCAAGTTCCAGATCTTAGTATATCCAACCCACCGCAGTCTTCGGTGTGGAACAGCTGGATGCGGTGTAGTGGGAGCTAGGAGAATGTCAACTGGCTTCCCCGATGGAGACCGAATCGCATTCCACTTATCAAGGTATTTTTTCTGTAGTGCGACCTTCTGTTTGTTGAGCTGCCAATACTCGTAGACGGAGATAGCCTGGCTTCGGTTAACTAGTGCCTCAACATGAGGAACAAATGGTTCTCCAGCGACAGCAATATCGCGACGGATATCCTCGCCACCGTCAACAGTATAATACCGATCCATGAGTTGAATATATTCAAAGTGATCTGAAGCATCCCAGATGACAATTTCATGGCCCTTTGCTTGTAGTTTTGCCGACAACTCGCGGAGGGCTCTTTCAATAGGGGGGTGGATCGTAACCACCCCATCATCTAGAATCAAACCGACAACTATGGGCCGATTTTGTATCTCCTGAAATGTATCCTCATTCCACGGAAGGGGGGTGCACTTTGGGTCCAACTCCCACGGCTTAGCGTTGGCAACAGATTGACTCACATAAGTGATAGACGCTAAGTCGCGAGCCATTGGACCGATGGAAGAGGGGACGTGCTCTTGTCCTTCAGTGGAGACAGGAACCCCTAGATACGGGAATCTGCTGCTCTGTTTGGTAGTTAGCCCGGTACTTTTCGTCTTGAACAGCCATTCCAGGGCTACAATGTACCGTGGGTTTGAAACCGTATAAGCCCACAATACTTTGCGGAATCCGGATACTGCCGCCGATATCTGTTCCAAATCCCAGGAGGGAGCCATGTAATGCTAAGAGAGCCGCTTCGCCCCCCGTCGAGCCTCCTGGAGTCAACCTAGGATCACGCGGGTTAACCGTCAGACCCCAAAGAGGATTTTCGGTTTCAGCCCACTTTGATTGAGGTTAGCCCATAACGGAACACCTATGAAAATCCATTCGAACAGACAGACCATAATACTTTGAGGCAAATTCGTCTTCGCTAGAATGATTGCTCCCATATCCCTCAGCATCTGCACTAGAGCTGCATCTTCCGTAGCAGGAGCAAACGAACGCCCGACATAGCCCAAGGTAGTATCGACGCCTCTGATGTTGAATTGGTCCTTCAAAGTGATAGGGACACCATGGAGTGGTCCTTTGAGATGCCCAGTTTCCTGAAAAACACGATCCAATGCTCGAGCCTGGGCCAAAGCATCTTCAAAGACCACCTCTGTAATACAGTTTGTCTAACATTGTTAGTTATTGTGGATACTTTCGTATACCTGCTCCATTGCGATGGGTATAACCCACCAATTGCTGTGCTATTGCAGCCCTGTACAGGTGAGAAATTAGCTACACTCATCCATCAAACAAGCATTGGCCATGCAACGGTCACCTTCTAACGTAAGCGAGGATAACAGCCTCAGCAGTAAATCTGCCTGTTCTCAATTGGTCGACCAGAACAGGGATATTGTCGATATCAGTGATTTCTTGAACTTCTGGATCACTTTGGATACGGGAACGTTCCTGGACATTGTGGACCTGAGGTAGCCGTTGATCCACATCGGAGACCATGTAGGGTTTCAGGAGTTCGTTCCGTAAGTGCTGTTTTCGAGAAGCAGTTTGCTTCCATATTTGAAAGTGGTTCATTTTACTCAGGAGTTTTGAATGCAGATAGAATGTTGGGAATATAGGTCGCCAAACAGTCCGGGATCAAATACACAAGTTGAATTAGGGCTATAGGCCCATAGGGCACGTCCGCTCCAGCATTTATAGATTGCTTCGGCCAAGTAGTGAGTTAGGCTACTCATTTTGGGGGGGTTATCAGTGCAGTGCTGACCCCAATCATCTTTTGATGACTAGCGATTGGGGTACGTTGTTTAGTACTAGTTGGGCCCTTTTTGGAGTGGAGACGACTTGGGGAACGGCATGATTGCCGAGGGAAAGATAGTTATTTAATGCGAATAAATCCTGGGATACATTGTTATCGGATGTAATTGTAGTGATTCAACCGGGCTGACTATATCCACAGCCATAGTTATATCTTATTCGCAAGAATTTACGCCGTAGAAATTACGGCCAACCCTGATGGGGGCAGGGCCCACTCGTGAACAGGGGAGAACGGCCACTAAAGGAGCGGTGGTGCACCAGAGGGGGGGATTTTATAATAATATTCAAATAAGCATAAGCGTTGTAAGATTTTAGCTTTACTTTCCCGTTCTGTAGAAGTGTCCCGTTATTTTCGATTATTATTTCCCTTCAAACAAGCTTGGAAAGGGTGACGGCACTAAGGTTGAGACAAATGCGTTACAGTGGATTCATCACGCGGGGGCCTCCACGACGGGCGATTTTTTCCTCATTTTCTCTCTCCATGTTGATCATTCTCTTGAATAACAAGCTGACTGATGGACGGGGAGGTCGAATGTGAGGCATTGAAATGTTTCGTCTTGGTATATCATTGTGATTGTTCCTCTTGCTCGCATATCTGCTAGTTTCCTGCCCTCTATCGCCCCTTTTGTTCCTCCGAGAACATGCCATCATGAACCCGACCTCGGATGCCACTACGACACCCCCGATGACCGGTGCCATCCGGACTGAATCCCGAAGGAAGACATCGGGGGCTATAGCGAAAAGGGCCTGCGACCAGTGCAAATTCCGGAAGATCAAGGCAATACTTCCTTCCCTTTCTTGAGATTGTTGTTAATTTCACTGCACCTCCCCCGCCCGATGCGGTTTACTTCTGATGCTTGAGCGGTCGGTCGTGGCTATGCTAACCTTCTTAGTACTGCACAGTGTAGTCTATCGCAACCATGTAAAGCATGTGTGTCTATGGGTTTTGAATGCACCTTTTTTCAACCCCAGAAGAAACGGGGTCCAACTGGACAGTGAGTTTACTAGAATAATGCTCTACTCATCTGTTGAGTGATTGCATAGTCTGACCACCTCTTTAGTCGTGTATCGCAGATCCGGCAGCAACAAACCCATGTGTTGAGCAAAAATTCCCCGACCCCACAGAGTCAAGTCAACTCTAGCGCCTTTCCTACCACTTTCCCTTATCAAGCAGAGCCTCCCCCGCGAGAAGAAAGTCGACATGATGCGACACCATGGCCTATTCCTGGTGGCGATGTTTCCGTGCCCGTCGACCTTGCGCAATCCCATGCGACGGCGGCGGTTGCTCCTGGCTGGGGTGTAGATGCTTCGTCCATGGCATCTCATAGTAACAGTGCGATAGGCTGGAATGAGAGAAGCGATGTGGAGTATTGGTTGCCGGATAATTTAGATGCTCAAATGCCCATCTTTGATTTCCCGGGCACTAATATCTACCTAAGGACATCTCTGCCCTCTATCATTCAGAACGATGCGGACTCCTCGAGTCTGCAAGCACAGGGTCTAGAATCACATAATATCCCAGCTCCCGTGCCTGATGTGGATGTTACCAAGCCAGAACCAAGTCACACAAGAGCATTATGGCCCTCGTCGATCGTGGAGGCCAACATGATTCCATGGATTGACGTCTATTTTGATCGCCTGCACCCGACTTTGCCTGTGCTAAATCGGTCTTCGTTGTTCATCCGGATGTTATCCCATGAACATCGGAAAAATCCTCAGTTTGGCTCAATGTTGCTGTCGCTGTGCGCTTTCTCGCTGACCCAGCCTATTGAGATAGATGAGCGGCCCACTTCTCAATCTCGAGCTGGCCAGGCCAGGTTAATGATGACCGAAGCTACAAGAATGAGAAGCTGCTCTGATTTTGGCGAAAACCCAACTATCGAGGCCGTTCTCACAAGCTTCTTCCTATTTGGATGTCTTTTTGGTAGTAATCAGCACAACGCAGCATGGCTTCGTCTACGGGAGGCTTTAGATCTCGCCGCTACATTGGGGTTGAACGACCCAAATTCTTATCGCGATCTACCTAGTGACGAAAAGGGCCAGCGTTTGCGAACTTACTTGGTCTTATCTATTACGGAGAGGTATGTTTCCTTTGGGCACTTTACCAACCTTCTTACTTAGCTGACATCAAATTAAGAGCGTATGCATTGCAACGTAGACACCCGATTACCTTTTGGGGAAAGCCTGGCTTTAGCATGCGCTCTGTGCATGATTTTATTCATAATGCCACACATAGTCTTGTTTCCGGGATCATAGTTCATAATGAGAAAGATGCTGAAGGAATGATGGGCCTAGCCCGTTTAATGGAGCTCTTTGATGCTGTCGATGAGGATGTCGTCGATTGCTGGAACCGGCGGTGCAGCATCGACTCTGGTTATTGTGAAAAGCTGACTGAGGCGAAAGCTTTGGCTATCCACCAAAACCTTAGTCGAGTTAGCGAGTCTGAACGATATAAGGGATATGACTGGTTTGAGCGCACAAAATCAGCTTCTGGAGAGACTCGCAACACCCAGCCAGCAATGGGGTTGAGAGAGACACAGTGTGCGGATGTTTTTATCACCAAGAAGTGGCTTCAGAATCGCGTGTGGGTTTTATGCTCCACTCATGGTCTACTTAAGCCTTCGTCCGACCACCATGAGCTCTGTTTCAACTACTGTGTTTCTGTCGCAAAGGATACACTCAAAATCTGTCAGTCACTGAGACTGAGCTCCATGGAAGCACATGGGATAGGTCTTGTGAGTCAGAATTTAACCCCAGAATGCATTCGGTTCCATGACTTATGTAACTAGGTTGAAAAATTGTACGACATCGCTGTCAGTGCCATCAGCGTATCGGCTAATGTCCAGCTATCTCTGGGAAATGGTTTCGCTCTGGTACCACCCGTAACCGAATCGATGCCAAAGTCAAGCGTCTCGCCACCAAGTTTTCCAGGATCCATGCACTCAAGTGCTGCTACCACGCTTCCTCAGTCCTTGGCGGAGGATTTTTTACTTTTGCTCAATAGCCTGCGCGGTGGGAACCACCCTTATCTGGAAAGATATAAGGCCTTCTTGAGCTCCTCGAACATCAGGAGCAACACTTATAGTAACTGGTCTTCAGAAGTTCAAACAACGCATACTCCTAGCGGTGTTTGATTGCTGCTTATGTATTATCTTTGATTTGCTTTTCTCCTTTCTAGGCTTTGGCGTATTGATGGTGTCCCGATTAAAAGCATGCAAGGAGTTCGCCCTCGGGTCTCACGGAAGAAACATATTGAGTCAGAGTATTCACCAATTATTGAAGTCGGAGCCAGCTATCAAGTTGGCCCTTGATTACACGTTATAGTTAGATCAAGTGCACCAATGTATACCCAGGTTATGATGGGATGTGCCACGAATGCGGAGACTAAATGTACATCTTAGTTCTAACTTGTATTATAGATACACGATGATGGGAATAATGCATTAAAACGGTGCTAAGTAACATCTGGAGGGGGTTTCGAGCGATTTGGATATGTCCTTAATTCAAGTGAACTTTTATAGGTCCGCCATTTCCAGGCCGGAACACCTGCGTCGTACAGTTCGTCAATCTCTGCAAAGGTGCGGCCTTTTGTCTCGGGCAGGAAACAGAATGTGAAGATTACGATACAGACCATACAGCCGGCGAATATAAGATAGGCCTTCGCGCCTAGGTTTGCTGCATCTGGCGCGGTCAGCCGAGGGACGACAAGCGTAGTGATCACTGCGGTTGTTTGAGCACAGGCAATGGTGTAGGCCATGGTATGGTGCCGGAGTTTGGGTGTGGCCATCTCTGAAGGCATCAAAGTCGACAGTGAAGAAAACGACGAGGCCCAGAAAAAGTTAAAAGTTAGAGACAATGCGACAATTGCTACACGAGAGCGCCGGTCTTTGCTGAATGCTAGACCCCCGGCTAAAGCGTCAATAACGAGCAACACGCTCATCCCCACCAACGCGGTAGGACGACGACCAGCTCGATCTATTACAAAGGGCGCTGCGATAGTACCGGCAAGGGTACAACAAGATGCAATTACCGTCAAGGAGAAAGCATCTAAGGCGAAGGAATCCTCCATGCCAATCTCGGTGAGGAAAACCGTAACGTAAGTCGTCGAGAGTATTACCCCGGAGACCTGGTTCAAAGAGAAGAACGACCCAGCTGTCAGGGTTCGGTGGAGGTGCTTCCTTGAGAATATCTCCCAGAACTTCACATTGGCCTTCAGTTCACGTTCCTTTTGTTCACAAAGCTTCATTATCTCAAGCTCGACGTCGACCTGCTCGTCGCTGAGGCCACGGAGTTTCCGCAAGTTGCTACGAGCCTGTGCCAATCGGCCTTTGGCAACAAGCCATTGTGGGCTTTCAGGAAGAGGTAACGTGCAGATAAGTAGTAACACGGGGAGAGCACACTGCACGGCCAACGGGATCAAGTATGACTCTCTCCCTCCTTGTTTTTTAGTCTCAGACACTACAACGGTTCCGATAACTCCCGCTGTCACGTTCAAGATATTGATTGATGTTACACTCCTGCCTCTCATGGAAGCGGGAACTACCTGTCAAGTAATTAATTATGTGATCTGTTTCATACATTGCAGCTGCATACCTCCGAAAGATACAAGGGAGCGGTGCCATTGGCGATGCCCATGCAATGCCATTTATAAATCGTCCAGCCACGAATGCCGCCAGACTGGGGGCAAAAACTTGAAGCAATCCACCACTAATGGAGATAACGTACGCCATCAACACGGGCCGTTTTCGGCCAAGGCGGAAATTGAGCGGCGATGCTGCAAGACCTCCGAGAATCGAACCGACCAGCGGGACCGAGAATACGATGTTCTGATTGCGGGCGGTCAAGGTATATCTCCCAGTACTCGGATTGGGTCCTTGATACCTTTCAACCTGAGTAGATTCCATTGTCAGTGGGATTGGCGGCTTAACTCCCGTCAGAGGTTGACTTACAAAAGGATCCAGCGCCGCTACAGGCGAGATAATCTTATCATCAAAGCCAAAAAGGAATGACGCTGCCCCGAAGACCACACAGGTCACCAACAAGAAGACATTAACGGTCCTCTCTTTTGAGGGACAATGAGATTCGGTGCTGGTCAGGTCCAGATGTTGTACATCACTTGTGTCACTGTCCACAGTTGAGTGAATGTCCGAATCTACCACTGACTTTGTGCTGGTCATCTTGAGCGATATTATTTGCATGCTTGGGTGAGCAGAGGAGAACTACTAATTACTCATGCCACAACAAAGAGTTGATTATTTTGTGGGTCTTCATTCCATTCTCCTGTGGATGCTCTTTTTCTCCTTCTCCTTGTTCTTTTTCTCTCTAGAAGAAAGACGGAAGAGATTGAGACTTAAAGAATGGATATTGGTGGAGATAAGTGCCGTGGATTGTCTGGAGACTAAGCGGATCAGGAGGAATATCACCTTGAGGGACGTGGTGAGACATGGATATGTGTGGGATATATACCGTGACCCCGGATCTTGGGGGGGGGGACCCCAAAGAGACTTATGGAGTAGATGGGAATTAAACATTGTACTCTGTATTGCTTTTCCAGTTTCCACACCTCAAAGACACTTGAAGTTTCAATAATGGGCCTGGAAAGGGTAAAGTCGGGTGGGGTTACGTATTTGAAAGGAAAGGAAGCCAATAATTCAAAAATCATGGAGGTATGGCCCACACAATCCATACCTACTAGTACAGTACAGAAACACGTCTTACTAGTTCCTCGTAGTACGAGGTACTAAGTAGGAATTCAGGATATGTTTAAATGGACGGCATTAAAAGAGAAAGAAAGGATCCACTAACTTTGAGACTTGAAGTTTCAGTAGACTACACTTTATATTTAGAATATCCTTGGCAGTATATCCCAACTTTCATTGCAATTCTTGCTACTGAGGTGTCTACGTATCGGTAGGTATGTACACGCATTTTCATCTTAAGTTCAAATACATAACAACATTCATCTCCTAAACTCGGGCTAGTTTTGACATGGTTCTCTCCCTGATATTTGTTTAAAGTCGTTCATCAGAAATACAAACAACCTGGGGAGGATATTGCCTTGTCATGATTTACTTATCCTATCGGGATTCGGTACTCATATCAATTCTTCGTATATCTCACACAGCTAAAATTGATGTCCTGGAATCAGCCTAGCAGAACACCAGGGGGCGGGATCCATCGGTTGCAAGTTCCGCCACTCAGTGCGAATACTAGTCCTGGAATACTTCGCCGATTTTTCGGTTCCATCAATGTTTGCGAAACAGCCAGGATGGACTAGCCGGTCATTCTACAACTAGTGTGCGGTCTCCGACCGAGCCTGTCGTTCATGTGGGATGCCTCCCCAAGGCAAATTCTCCGAGAATCCCCCGTCCGCTTCTCGACCGGTGGTGATAATTCTTAAAGCGAATGACAACTGCCCTCCGAGGCAAACGCCATGAGGCAGGCCAGTGCCTCTGTTAGAATATTTCGTTGTTCAGAGCTTCCTAAACCCCCCCAGATTTCCGCGGTTGACATCGCAGCAACCCGTTAATGCATAGCTACACCATACTATAGGCTTCCAGCCAAGCTAGCAAGACGTGTGTGTCTCACCAATCGATCGGCATTATCTTCCAATCAGCTGAGGTCCTTGCGACGAAGGGTCTGGGCTAGGGGCGGATTTCGCAAGAGAGATTTCCGTTTTTGGGCTCTTGGTTGGCTATATTCCCCGTCTATACTAGTCGCCTCATAACCAGCCGAATCAAACCACACCGATAGACATGCCAGTTCTCGCAGGATGCCAAGGGGCGGCAATCCCTGCCAATTCGGTGCCCCAGACCCCATCATACAATCTTAACCTGATTGAGAATTCTTTATCGTGTGAACAGCAGGTGACGTCTGCCCGTGATGTTATATACTCGCGGCCATCGTTTCACCTAACCGCTCCCCACGGTTGGCTAAACGACCCTTGCGGCCTTGGATATGACCCTGCGACTGGCCTATATCACCTATCTTTTCAATGGAACCCCAAAGGCAACGATTGGGGAAACATCTCCTGGGGACATTCAGTATCACCGGACCTAATATCCTGGAAGACATCCCCAGAGCCATGCCTAACACCTTTAGCTGAGTATGATAGTTGCGGCATATTCACAGGCTGCCTTCGGTCTTCTGATATCAACGGGGCTGCCGGGGCTCTCACGTATATATACACTTCGGTGAGACGTTTGCCTTTACATTATACTTTGCCCTATGAGGTTGGCAGCGAGTCGCTCAGTATAGCTGTTTCACGGGATAACGGCGTAACGTGGCAGCGTCTAGACTCCAACCCAATTCTACCAGCGCCTCCTATGGGTCTTAATGTAACTGCTTGGAGAGACCCTTATATAGGAGTGTGGGCAGCGAAGCGGGGTGAACACGACAATAACATATTACCATCTCCCAGTCTTTCTGGGTTTCTCTCCGGTGGAATCGCTGGGCGGACACCAACAGTCTTCGTTTACTCAGTCAATCCTGATGATCTTAGAGAATGGAAGTATGCGGGACCTCTCGTTAACGTTGGGCTGAATTTCCGGCCATCAAGGTGGTCGGGCGACCTGGGGGTAAATTGGGAAACTACAAACTGGGTGGTACTGACTGACCATGAAGGAACCACGAAAAACTTTATTATCATGGGCGTAGAAGGGTGCTTGGTGTCTGAGAGGAAGCAAAAGAGGGTCTCTCGATCGCAGCTATGGATGGCCGTAGATCCACGTCCTGAACAACCGAAGTGCAAGCCCATAGAGGCCCTCGCCGACTACGCATTTTCCGGAATATTCGATCACGGGTGCGCCTACGCCGCCAATTCCTTTTGGGATCCGGTCACGTCACAATACGTCGTCTATTGCTGGATCACGGAAGACGATCTTCCAGATACTATCCGGCATCAACAGGGCTGGAGTGGTGTGATATCTCTCCCACGCGTTTTAAAGCTGACAACATTGCGCAATGTTACAAAGACACGTTGCTCCAATTTCAGTGATGTTACGTCTATTGAGAAGGAAGCCAACGGCGAAGGGAGTTTTACAATCCGCACGTTAGGCATCGAGCCCGACCAGAGACTTAAGAAACTTCGCAGGGGAGCGCAGAGCATCATGAATGTCCCATTATGCGACCGGCAACATTGGGACAATTGCGTATCCTTGACGACATCAAGGTGGGAATTAAAAGCTGAGTTTGCAGTTGGGAAGCTGTGCAAGTTGGTGGGGATAGAATTTGAGCATGACTTAGGTAGGTCTTCGTTGTCTGGGTTGAGGATTTTCCCAATTACCTTAGCAAGTATAGCTTTCTACGGTTCATTAAGCGACTGACACAGGCTCCTAGATCCCCGTAATGGCACCGTCCTAGCATGGGCACCATGCAGTGAGACATTCTCGATCCACCGACCTCCTCCTTACGATCCGGACATCAACCATAATCCGGAGATCGCACCGCATACTTTGTTTACTTTCGCAGATGAAAGCGGCATGGAGAAAGAAGAGACACTTCGGATTCATGCATTCCTCGACCGAAACGTCCTGGAAGTCTTTATAAATGAAAGAACGGTCATCTCAACACGCATTTACACGCCATGTGTCGAGTCTGCCAGTCGTCTACGATTCTTTGCTGAATTAGACTCCGGTGCACCAAATCTGAAGCATGCCCCTGCTGTTCTCCTACAAGCGGATCTTTGGGATGGACTGGAGGTATCATGATTTGTACAATTAGAATATATAATACAACGAATACCGCGATTCGATCATATTCACACTTAATTAGTGGGCAGAAGCTAGTTCGCCGAGACCTGAATGGTATAGAATGGCAAGTAAAGTGGCATCGTCGGTCAAGGATAATATTCCTAGATCCTGAAAGGAAATTTGAAATAATATGTATCAACCAAAAACCCGTTCTACATAGGGGGTATACTATACTAAAGATGGCATTATCCACCCTGTTTGGATCAGAAAGGCAACTACTGGCTGTAATGACTTACAAGAAAGGGCGTCACTTCTGGACATAAGTATAGTGTTTTCAAGATCGATGTGACATTGCTACTATCCTTCCTATTCCCACATCTGTGCCGGATGCAGTCTGGAATACAGGGGTTGACGACAGCATGGAGTGTAAGCTACCTGTAAGTGAACCTCGACCCTGTAGAAGCCTGGGATTATGCCTAACCTGAATAAAACGACAGACCTTCAGTCAAGTCATCGGCAACTACAGAGTGGCCAGCAACGGAAGAAAGAAAAAGGTGAACTAACAACACCTATGATACCAAGAGCCTTGCAATCTTCTGGGCTTTGCTCTATACAAACATTTACAACATTGAAGATAAGCCAAATATGTTAAGTATCAACTATTCTTTTATTGTTCTTACAAGTCAACTATGGTGATCTGTACAATAGGTCCAAGTTATCCTGGACCACACATGGTATATATATGTTATGCTATATATGCAAAAATCATTGAACAGAGACATGGCAAACCAGCAGGTCCTCATTGTAAAGTGATGCCTGTTCTACTATAGAGAAAGAAGAAGGGACCGTGGGGTTGTAAGAGAGTCATTGCATATCCACAAAACTGGACATGATAGTTCTCATTTATCATGATCATTGAAATTTTTAGCTGCTGTTCATCCATACGCTTCACATTCCAAAATGGTATCATTGATTTTCATTACAAACTCCGTATATGACCCGGCAACCGGACGAAGAAAGGAGAAGGCGAAGGCCATAGGGTATAGGAAGAAGGCCAGATATTAAAAGAGATATAAGGGAAAAGAATGCAAACCGCGCGTGAACATTCACCTTGACTTCCAAAATTTCCACCCTGGCAATGTAATCTGACCATCACGCTGATAGATTCGCCAGTAGTAAACCGGAACGCCAGCAACAATAAAGGCCACAACAATCAAGGTTTGCAAGGGCTCTGCGATGACCGCTCGACTGAGAAGAAAGATGCTAACGCAGCAAAAGATGATAGGAGTTGAGATCCATGTTTTGTACGGTCGCTCCAAGTACGGTTCTCGAATCCTGAGCACAATCAGGCCCAGGACGGTGAGGAAATAGAATGTGTAGCCCGCGACACCGTAGAAGGTGACCAAGGTTTTGAATTCACCGACAATGACGTATACCAACGTGAGCGCGCTGTTCAGGGCCATGGCATTGATTGGTGTGTATCCAATTCGAAAGCGCTCACCAAAAAGGCGTGAAATAGATTGACGAGCCCATGACCGGTGCTGTAGTCGATTGGTTGCGGGATATTCTCGAGTCCAGAGGTTGCCAAATATTGAAGGCAGATAACCTTCCTTGCCGGCCGCATAGACCAATCGCCCGCTGGTGAAAACCGTTGCATTGAGCGCCCCGAAGCAGCTCGCAGAAACAATGAGCGCGAAGACGAGAGCGCCGGCTTTTCCAAACACCTTGTCGCCGAATTGAACAGCGATGGTGTTGCTGACCTCAATGGTCGAATGCGGTAGGACTAGGAAGTAGGAGATATTCGCGAGTATATAGCAGAGAATGACCAATGGCATCGCAGTATGAAGCACACGCGGGAGGTCACGATTGGGGTTTTTAAATTCGCCAGTCACGTAGTTAGTCTGTATCTTATCAGCGACGGGCGCCCAGGTATGAAACATTGGTTATAGAAGTTAAGTGTCACATACGTTATCCCAGCCGTCGAAAGCCCAAAGGCCGGCGTACAATGCGACCGCCCAGGCTGATATGTCAAGATTAGTATCTTTAAACCAACCCGACTTCCATTCTTCATTTGCACTCCCATCTGATGAGAGGCCCGTGATCGTCACGACAACGCCAATGATGGTGACTCCAAGCAAGGCGATGAACTTGAAGAACATAAATATGTCACCGATGCGTGCGGCTAATCTTGTGGAAATGCAGTTCAGCAAGGTCACCGTCAATACTCCTCCAAATGCGACAGCTTTGTTAATCCAGGGATTAACCTGCTCGACCTCAGCACCGACCACAGCCCGCACAGCGTATTCCCCAAATATGATGGCAATGATGGCAGCACTGCCTGGCTTCAGCACAAGAACAGCACACCAGGTGAAGAGGAAGCCTGCCAATTCTCCGAAAATCTTTGCCAAGTACACCTGAGAGCCACCATTCAACGGAATTGCTCCTCCTAGTTCTGCATAGCTGGCCGCTCCAGTCCATGCCAGCAGACCTGCAACTACCCATGCAATGAGGGACGCGCCAGGGGAGCCCGCGTTGGCATTGACCTGACTTGGTGATGAAAAAATCCCCGAGCCAATGATCAAACCGACCACAAGGGATAGGCCATTCAAGTATGTTAACGTCTTGTTCCTTTCCAATGAGCCATCGGCGGCCCCGCTTTCACGGTCAAGCGCAGAAGGCGCGCCTAACGGAGCATACCCCCCAGCCGTCTGCGACAGGGGGAACAGCGTTCTCCCAAAATCAAACGCAGATGATACCGAGTATGACCGGGCCGATCTAGGCTCCCAGAGTCGAAATTTGTGGCCGCATAGGAATTCGAGAGAGGATCCTCATCTTCAAGGGAGAGCTTTCGGGAGGACGAAATACCGGAGGGGGAGGAGCCGGAGGACCTTGCGTCCAATTCGGGCGAGGAAGAGGCGAGTGAAGCGAGCTCTAGAGAGTCCCGAGGCGCATGGCTATTAGCTGACCTGCCTTCGGAGTTCAGAAACACCATTGTGGTTTAATGGAGTCGGGGGTTTGAGAATAATGAAAGCGGGAGTTCAATGAAAACAATCCATGCCAGGTTAGCTGCGACAACGAAAATAGAGAGAGAAAGACGAGCTTTCCTTGCTTATGTGTAAACCTCCCCTGTATGAACACAGAAGTGACCGCAAGGAATTCTCGTCTTTTTCGGCTGAAAGAAACAGGGGAAGGAAAGGACGAGCCCCGGTGCTGTAGAAGAATACAGAGTGATCGTCGTTTCCGCCAGATCAGGTCTAGCGTCCTTGTGCCCCCCAGATCTTTTCCGCAATTACGGAGCGAGCATATGAAGACAGAACCCGTCCGATTCCCTCTCTTCCCAACGATCCCATGAAGCCTAGAACTTCGGCTCGGACCTTGTCTCTATTCAGTTCCCCATTTCCCCTCTGTAGGTCAGTTGGTCGGATACGGAGACGCCATGCTTTCTCTTCCTCCTCCCCCGCATCGTCGCCGTCGAAACAACGCCCTTGGCTTCGAGTCGCTGTCGTGACCATCGCAGCAGCTGGAATTGGTGCTTATATCAGGTCCCAAGAAGGATCGAAATCCACAACGCTGAACCCCATCACATTTACTCCATATTTCCTAGTTTCAAAAGAGCCGGTATCGTCGACCGGTAGTATTTTTACTCTCAAGGCGCCTAAGCCGGCCAGTGATAATTGTCAGGTCTATGATGAAGCATGGAAGACGGGTGTCTGGAGTGTGATGTTCAAACAGCCGCAGCTACAGATTGGAAGAGACTATACACCTCTTCCTCCTACGTCGGCCGAGGAAAATGAGGAGTCGCTACGCTTCTTCATTCGTAGGGACCCTTTCGGCGAAATGTCCCGGTATTTGCATGGTCTTGATATGGGAACTCGCATAGAGATGCGTGGTCCGCAGATTGAGTGTGAAATTCCTTTAGATACCCAGCAGATTCTCTTCATTGCCGGTGGAACTGGTATCGCTCCTGCCTTACAGGCAGGACATACGCTCCTTAGCCGCACAGACGGAACACATAAACCGAGGATACACATCCTTTGGGCGAATAGGCGACGAGATGATTGTGTTGGTGGTACAAATGACAATACCATGACGTCTAGATCGCGAGCGTCCTGGTTCTCCGGACTCTTCAAGTCATCACCAGCCGATCCACCTCCAGCTGATCCCGTGGATAGGACTGCTCCTTTCCCTTCTCTCATTGTCAGAGAGATCGAGGCTCTCAAATCTCAGTATCCGGGACAAGTCACGGTGGACTATTTTGTGGACGAGGAAAACACATTCATCGGGAAAAAAACTATATCGGACGTTGCGGAATCTGCTATTCCGGCTGAGGGACCTGAGAAACGCAAGATGATCTTAGTCTCGGGACCGGAGGGCTTCATTAGCTACATGGCTGGACCAAAGCTCTGGGCGCAAGGTATGGAGCTTCAAGGACCGCTTCAGGGGGTCATCAAGGAACTTGACTTGAAGGATTGGGCTGTGTGGAAACTCTGACGACCAATTTCCTGCATATTCAAATACTGGTAGAGGAAAAGGGAAAGCATAGATATCTTTATTATGTATATATCTGTATAGAAGTATAGAATCGGGTATTTTGTCGATAACTGACTCATAACCTCCGATAGCGGAGAGTCTTGGCGCTCTAGCTGCTTTTATCGGCACTTCCCCAGAGTGAGAAATAATGCGCTTCTTCTCATTCGCCAGACTTTCGCTCGCAAGAAAGGTCAACTCTTGAACGTCTCCTGGCAAGAATGGCCGTAGGTGCTTTCTACCATATCGTCTTAATCTCTAGCTGACCCTATGCAGTCTCGATTGATACCGTCCGGTGGCCCTGGCAGGCGCTGGGCATCCCTGCGCGTGCCGAGCACTCCTCAACGACGTGCGTTCGCCTCCACTAGGTTCTACTTCCAAGATATTTTTCAGTCGCAATTAGAGGATCCCTCGTCAGCTGCGATCTACTCCTCTCTTCAGGCGTCGAGAGCCGTTCCGCAGACCCTCACAGAGAAAATTGTTCAGAAGTACTCCGTTGGTTTGGCCAAGGACAAATTCGTCAAATCCGGCGACTATGTCACTATCTCGCCTCACCGGTGTATGACTCATGACAACTCATGGCCGGTTGCACTGAAGTTCATGTCCATTGGTGCAACAAAGCTACATGATCCGAAGCAGATTGTGATGACGCTCGATCACGATGTCCAGAACAAGTCGGAGAAGAACCTCCAAAAGTATCGACAGATTGAAGAGTTCGCCAAGCACCAGGGAGTTGAGTTCTACCCCGCTGGAAGAGGTATTGGACATCAAGTCATGGTGGAAGAAGGCTATGCTTGGCCCGGTACTCTTGTGGTTGCTTCCGATAGCCATAGTAACATGTACGGTGGCGTCGGCTGCTTGGGTACTCCCATCGTGAGAACGGACGGTGCTAGCATCTGGGCCACTGGGAAGACATGGTGGCAGATTCCACCGGTTGCAAAGGTCACTTTGACTGGTATATTACCACCGGGTGTGACCGGCAAGGATGTGATCGTCGCTCTTTGTGGGCTGTTTGATAAGGACGACGTCTTGAACCATGCAATCGAATTTACTGGCTCTGAGGAGACTATGCGCAGTCTATCGGTAGATGCCCGGTTAACGATCGCCAACATGACAACAGAATGGGGTGCCTTGTCTGGCCTGTTCCCAATTGACAGTGTATTGAAGGGATGGCTGAAAGGCAAGGCTACAACAGCAGCCATGGGGCTTGCGGAAGGTCCCTTCAAAACCTTAGCCCCCCAGCATTTCACACACCCGCTCCTTGAGCAGCTGTTTGCCAACCCCCTGACTGCTGACAAGGGAGCCAAATATGCTAAGGAACTTTTCCTGGATCTTTCTACACTTTCCCCTTACGTTTCCGGTCCAAACTCCGTCAAGGTTGCCACGCCTCTCAAGGACCTGGAGGCGCAGGATATCAAAGTTAACAAGGCATACCTCGTCTCATGCACTAACTCGAGGGCTTCGGATATCGCTGCAGCTGCTAGAGTTTTCAAGGAAGCCGCTGAAAAGAATGGTGGCAAAGTCCCCAAGATTGCCGACGGTGTTGAGTTCTATGTTGCGGCTGCGTCTATCCCTGAGCAATTAGCAGCAGAAGAAGCTGGTGATTGGCAAGCCTTACTAGATGCCGGAGCTACGCCATTACTGCCTGGATGCGCACAATGTATCGGGCTGGGAACCGGTCTCTTAGAGGCTGGAGAAGTAGGAATCAGCGCCTCGAACCGTAATTTCAAGGGTCGTATGGGAAGCACCGATGCGAAAGCATACCTTGGTAGCCCCGAAGTCGTTGCCGCTAGCGCTTTGACCGGAAAGCTCAGCGGCCCGGGCTGGTACCAGGCGCCGGAAGGTTTGGCTGAAGTTGTACGTGGAGAGGGAGATGGAATTCGCGAGGAGGATCGCATGCTTACCGCCGAACAAGCCCTAGAGAAATTAATCGGCCAGATTGATAACTTGGTTGCCGATGGTGAGAAGCAGTTTGCCCCAGAAGAGAGTGAGGAGTCATCGGGTGATTCCCTTACGGAGGTATACCCTGGATTCCCAGAGCGTGTTTCGGGTGAAATCGTTTTTTGCGATGCCGACAACATCAACACCGATGGTATCTATCCTGGTAAATATACCTACCAAGATGATGTTTCCCAAGAGACAATGGCTCAAGTCTGCATGTCCAACTACGATGTTCAGTTCTCGTCGATCGCCAAGGAAGGTGATATTCTAGTCACTGGTTTCAACTTTGGCTGTGGAAGCTCCAGAGAGCAGGCTGCGACTGCCCTTCTGGCAAAGAAGATCCCGCTCGTCGTGTCGGGAAGCTTTGGCAATATCTTTTCTCGCAACAGTATCAACAATGCCCTGATGGGTCTGGAGGTTCCTCGTCTCATCAACCGTCTCCGTGAGAGCTTTGCTGGAGAAGGAAGCGACAAAGCTCTCACGCGCCGCACTGGTTGGACCTTAACCTGGGACGTCCGGAGAAGCCGCATTGAGGTTCAGGAGGGAGAGAATGGTCCCAAGTGGTCCCACCAGGTAGGTGAACTGCCTCCCAATGTGCAAGAAATTATTGCCAAGGGAGGTTTGGAGAAATGGGTCAAGAACGAGATTGGGGCTTAAACAGTTTACTGTCGAAGTCGCTGAACATTTCTCAACCTCAAATGATCTTATACCCGAGCATTTTGATCCCCTTTCCTGCATGGATAGATTTTTTTCTTTTTTGTCCCTTACCGTGGATTTATGTTCTAGTTGCCAGGTGCGGTAGACGGTTTGGGATGGTTATTCATGTACAAAAGAGCGGTTTTGTTGTGTATTTCGAATAATGTCTTTATATCATCATCATCATCATTATTACTATTCGTCCAATCTTGACTAAGTGGAGGTGGCTGTAAGATACGACGAGCGAAGATGCACTGCCTGTGCGACTGACTTGTTCTAGACTTGGTGGCTGTGTTTCGGACGATCGACCTGCCCTCCAATGCCTTGTCAGCCTGCATACATGCTCCGCTGTAGTTAATTAACGTTCCTTGACCTATAAATTCCCCCAAAGCATTATCGAAGAATTGGCTTTGGGTTTCTGGGGTTCGACTCGTCAACGCCGCAGCTGTGGACTCCACGCAAGTCGTGCTTTTATCTTGACTCTCCTCTGAAGAAGGTCGTCTTCTCTCTCCCTGGGGTAGATGTGATCTGCACGCTATTGATTGCCTTTCCCACTTAGCCCTTGTTAGGGTTGTCTATTTGTCTGTCACAGAAGCACATACACGACCTGGCGCAACACACTCCTCTTTCCTTCATCTATATCCTTCCTCTCATGATACTTTCGTTGTGAAGCGAAACGGATAACGCTCCTATGGATCCAGGTTCTATATTTGGCGTGATTTCTGGCGCATTTCAGCTTGTGCAGGTCATCACACAGACCGCTGCGGGGTTGGCGACGTTGCGCGAGAAGTTCAGCCACGCAGATCTCACAATTCGGTCACTCCTTTCACAGTTGTCGACCATCGAAAGAGCCATTACAGAGCTGGATGAGTGGGCAAGGTTCAATACTCGCGACACAGCTGAAGAAAATGAAATTGACGAGGGTCTCTTTGTTGCGTTGGATGGCTGCCGGGCCGTCATGGACGTCCTTTCCGATCAGGTCGCTACCCTCACCAGAGGCAATGACACACAGTTTGGGATAGGCACTCGTGTAAAGATCCTATGGAATGAGGACATAATGCGAGGCCATCAGGACAGGTTACATGCTCAGATTCTCGCGCTACAACTTTTGGTTCAGGCCTGTAATTGGTGAGATTCTATTTACATGTTAACGACAGGCAGTTTTGGGCTGACCCGCCGTAGTAAATCGACGTCTGACCAACTCAAACTGCTTCGCAGAGCAGAAAACCGTCAAATTATCCAGAGGGTTGCCAGTGACACAGCGACACTTCGGTCCTCAAGCAGCTATGCAGCCTCCCGCGCCGATAGCTCTAGCCTGAGTCATCGCCAATCTTCGTCCGGAGATACTATCTTTGACTTCGATGGGAGACTACTTTCCTCTCCCCCTTATCGTCGTATACTCTCGTGGTCAAGAGCGGAAACACAATCTACTGCCAGTAATGGCAACGAAAGCCGGAGTACTGATGAAGGCTATGGCAGCGGTTCGGTGAACACACCAAATATGTCACGGGCAAGCAGTCTTGTACTGCCAGTTCTACCATATGACACAACCCGCCCGGGACATGGCCATAGTAAGAGTGTGTCATTCAGACCCTCTAACTTTCAGCCGAACCCAACACAATTCCAGAGATGGCAGTCAGACTCCACACCCTCTTCCCCAATCAGCCGCTCTTCGAGCTCCAAGCGGGAAAAGATTCGTGCAGCCTTCCGGCAACTGAGTCGCTCGAAGTCAGTGGCTCACGATCCTGTACGAACCCTAACAGGCGGGTCAATGGCAGCACGGCGGATCAATGGACGAGATATGCATACCAGCATCGACCTAACAACACCCGAGGGGGCTGCTGCGCCACTTATCGTCAAGACAGCCCAGTCAGGCTCTCGTTCAGATGTTGAGAGGCTTATAGAAAGTTGCCATGATATTGAAGCCTGCCATGTAAATACTCGAAGAAATGCATTACTGGTAGCATCGCACTGTGGAAACGAAGAAATCGTTGAATTGCTCCTTCAAAGAAACGCTCGACTAAATGTCACAGATAAGTCAGGGTCGACTGCCCTACACCTTGCTGCCTCTCGCGGCCATTGTGAGGTTCTCAAATTGCTTCTTCTGGAAGGCATTGACACGGAAGCCCCAAATTCCAGGGGCAGAACTGCACTCTGGCTTGCGGCAGAGAATGGACAACTTGAAGCCGCAAACATCTTGATTGCCGGCCTAGCTAAGGTCAACGCGCGCGCTGAGAACCAAATGACTCCGCTGCATACTGCCGCAAAGGAGGGTCATGAAGCCGTTGTGGAATTTTTGGTTTCGAATGGGGCCGATTTGGAAGCCA